GTGAATACCAAATACTGCACATGTCTGTACAAGTGGCTTGCGTGCTTGATCGTATAAGGGATTTATAATTATATAAATGGAGAGGCTAATTCAAGAAACTAGCCCGTGAAAGGACAAAACATTACTTCATGTATTCCCAATAAAATACTCCATCCGTTCAAAAAAAAAAAGCAAACCCTGGATTTCTGTGTCCAACTTTGACTGTCCGTCTTATATGAAATTTTTTTATAATTCGTATTTTTATTGTTATTAGATGATAAAACATGATTAATACTTTGTGTGTGACTTGTCTTTTTAATTTTTTTCATAATTTTTTCAAATAAGATGGACGGTTAAACGTTTGGCACGAAACCAGGGTTTATCTTTTTTTTTTTTGACGGATGGAGTATGTGTTCAGTACAACAAAATTCTCTGAACGTCACTAAATAGGTTTATTTTAGTTCATCCCAGTTCATAGGCTAAATATTTGTACGTTTCGTAGCTGTCCGTGAGCTTTTAATTATGAGACCAACATATATGTGGTCGTCATGAAGTATATCTGTGTATACGAAGTGTTATTATACCACTTTGATACAGACACTCTACCGTGCGCCAGTAGTTCTCTGTCAACGCCAAGCAGGGGATACATGCAAAACAAACATCTGGAGTTCATGTGTCCGCTTCAAATGCTGTTGCGGTCAAATTTTATTGAACTATCAACCTTATGTAAGATTTGATTGAGTTCTTGTAAATATTTTTTCAAGTTTTAATGAATAGTTGAGCTCTCTGCTTTACTTTAAAGAAAAGGACCGAGTTCGGGAAAGAGAAAGACCTCGCTTCACTAGAAGACATATGTCCACATAAAGACTAACTGAAATGCACAACATTAACGCTTTGACAATATTATTATACGCTAGGTCCAATCTTCAGGCATACTGGTCGCAAATTTGTTTATTTCTTGAGATAAGATACGCTCTGATTAATGAAGATTGCATTTTTCACTGGAGACAGACGAGAGGTATACTTGAGTAGTGGTTCTTTTGTTGAGAGACAAATCATATAAAAATAATGAGCTTGGTTAACTAGAAATGATATCGTAAAACACAGCAGTCTCCAAAAGCTAGTTTTTTTAACGAAAAAAAAAGCTAGTTTTGTGTACTCTCGCTATTGGTGGATCGCAGAAGTCCACAACCAACCCACATTTATGTATGTGAACTGGCAATTTCAAAATCAGATGATAAGGGAGGATTCTTGCTTAATTGGCTGCAGGTATCATTCTTCTGAAGTCGTTTGTACCAACCACAAAATTAACAAAAGGGGTTCCATCATCTCCTGATTGCAGGTGTTGCTGAACCGAGCAAACGAATTCTCTACTGCACAGTTGTACTTCGCCTCGTCAGAAAAGATTAGCCACAGTACGTCCTTAAAAGCCACTTTGCCATTATAAACTAGTACTAATCATGAGCTCTGTACAATGCGATAAGATTTGTTCCCATGAGCAATCATGCATTTTGTGGCGGCCACTGTATATATGTCCCCCACAGGTTAACAGGATGGGATGGAAGTGGTGCCATAAAGTTACGTATAACCTAATTAGGACCCATTCTTGAAATCGACAAAAGCAAGAAATAATTCTAAGCATTTTTTCAGAGAAAAGATTGGTGTGTGTCATGCAGATATGCAGTTCGCTGGCCCGGCGAAAAAAGATATGCAGGTCGCTAGTTCAGATAGATTTGAGGGCACTAGTCGGTCTACTTTACTGTATCAATAGCTCTAAAATTCAAAGTTAGTGATTACAAAATTCAATATATATAATCAACCATTCCAACATACTACTTTTGATTTCTGTTTTCTTAAATTTAATATTCGAAAAATTTATAAAATAATAGATACAAAGTTATTATACTCCTACTTGTCATATGGCCTTCATTTTAGTTTTTCTTAATTAAATAATATAATTCTGAACTTGGAATTAATCATTACAAAGTTGTCCTCGGTACGGACTATATCAGTTTATAGTATTTGACTATTGCCAGATTTATTTGCTACTCCTATTAGCATGAGATTTTTCTCCAAGTATCAATTTAGTGTGCGTGTGTGTGTATAATGGGAAAAGAAGTGCACTTGAACTATTTGCTCAATCCTGTATGTACCTTTTGTTACAAATTTCTCTTTTGTAGCAGTTAATGTTTGAAGAATGGTCAACTGTAGTCCTTCATTGGTACATGAGAAAAAAGAAATACTTTACCGTGTAAAGTCCACTGAAGAAATTTTCGATGAAAACCGACTTTTTCTTAATCCTTTATGTCTCCGACTACTTGAAAATGTGGATAAACATTATAGTTGTATTAATGTTCATACGAGTAGGATACGTAGATACCTGTCTACACTTCTACTGTGTTTTTTTTTAAAAAAATAAGTTTACAGTCTTTATGCCTTGGACTACTTAGAAATATGAATGAATATTATAGTTGTATTGTTCATACGAGTAGGATATGCCTGTACATGTTTATAATGGTATGTGCGTATGTACGAGCGTGTGTTAATCTGTACCGTGCTTTAAAAGGAGAAAAAAAAAACATAAGCTGTCCTACGAGTCCTCCTGACCATGACAATTTGTCACTAGCATCCGAGGAGGAAAATCTCCTCACCGTTGCTAGAGACTTGGGACGATGCGGGGAATCTTCCTTGGAAAGAGGTGCGAGAGAACTAGAGAAGGGCGTTATCAAGATGCAGGGAAATCCTCCATTCCTCCCATCAAATGCAAAGAACAAATGAAGTGGCGGGACCGCGCTCCCCTGCTGACAGTGCACTCGGCAGCCTACAACAGCAGCAGCATGGCATCCCCTTTTTTCTCTCGTAGCGCCATGCATGCACGATCAGCACCTACGCCCCCGCAATATTATTATATGGCTGTCACGATCCCACCCCTTTGATGAGAGGCCCATGCATATGCACGGTTACATCACGGTGCACACGAACGACGCACCCCTCTCGTCCTCACTGTCCCTAGCTCTTTTAAATTTCTTTATGGTTCCTTCTCTTCTAGTACTCGTGACCTTCTCGCAGCTCTCCACACGGATGCATATGCTTCACCCCTCTCTGTACATTCACACCTTCTGTCGGTGTGTCGATTTTAACCTGAATCATCTGGGCACTATCACACTACTAGTAGTTTATTCAGCTGTTAGTATGTTACTGCACGACGTGCACATCTGTACTTGTTCAGGCTCCTGTTGCAAACGCACAAGTCCCACTCACATCGAACAGTCCATACAGTTTTCTTTGTGTGGGGGAGAGCATGAAGGGGAGGATCCCCCACGATTTCACCGGGGCCTAGTGCTCCTCTTCCCGATTCGGCCAACTGGGCAGCTCCCATCCCTGCAGGTGGCCACGTACACCGTATCCCTGATTTCCTATGCGTGTCCGCTGGCCACCGAAACAGATAAGCTTATTTCCTACTCCTAGCTAGCTTAGCTATCTCCTGGCAGGCTGGCACCACCACCAGCTCCCGGCTCCTGACAAACCGAACCATCCAACACGTACACGTACACGCGCGTGCGTCGTCGCTGCAGGCGACACCGGGCGAGTGATGGCAACGTCCGGACGTCGGGTCGTAACCTGTGCATGCCATGCCAACCATCCTGGGGATGGACCGGATCCACTGCTCACGTCGACGCGACGTAGCGTTTCCAATTGACCGCGGCGGCGTCGGTGGGGCGACGACGAGAACGTACCAGCGCGCGCGCGCGCGTCGCGCGGGAGGAAACGAGACGAGAGGTCGATCGCTAGCGCCCGCACGCGGCACGGGGTGAAACGCTGGGGAGGCCACGTTTTTTTTTTCTTTTTTGGCCCCGTTCTCGTGCGGTTTTGCGCCGTCGGGTAAGCGGTTAAAATCCCCACACCTAATCAAACGCGGGCTCGATCCGTAGCCGGGGGAGATGTGGTGCTCCTCCTGCTCATCATCATATGGCAATCTTGGCGGATTGATTAGCAGGGGGGAGGGGGCAGCACAAAAGCGTGGCGTTGGTTCCGGGTCCAACGGCCCCGAATCTGAAACTCTGAAACTTTCAACAACGGCGATCGATGATGAGTATCATCGGCCAGTATGGCTGATTGATTACAGGGTCTGCGTGGCTGCAATTCGATTTCGTTTCCATCTTTTGGACTTTCTGTACTCGCGCGGCGTTGAATGGATAGAGGGGACGGGACAGGGTGTGAGCCCCTGTGTTGGTTCCTGCTGTGCCTGTGCTCTGCTACATCATTCTTCGCTTCTGCCACAAGTCACAAGGCCTCCTTTTTCTCCTATATATGGAGAAAAAAGCGCAAATAAATATTTTCCGCTTTTTAGACTCTGCTGCGCTTTGGGATAAAAACAAGTGAGGAAAATATGCAAAAGAAGGAAGAGTTAATTAATTAATCAACGCTACGTATATGCGCGCCGTGTTACGTATCTCTTGCTGACTTTATAGGTAGGAGTACTGATTTTTCCTTTTTACCGCTGATGATAGTATATACAAACGATGTTACTTACCAAGTGACAAGACGTGGACGTGTTGCTCACAATAGTTTGAAAAATAAGTAAAGAAACTAATAATGCGTTTTTAGACGGGCCGCGAGAGGCCAGCAAGGCGAAGAGAAAAACGGTGCCGTTTGGTAGTCTTTAAGCTGGCTACGTCATCGCACAATTTGATCGTTTTGCCCCCACCACGGGGACTCGGGGAGAAGAGCCAAGCCATCTCTGCAGCTGGCTTCGATGATTTTATGAAGTGCGTAGTACGAAGTTTACATGCACGGCTTGACTTTCTTTACGACCTCTCTCTCACATCTCACCTCGTGACCAAGCTGGATATAGCAGGAACAGTGCCATGCGCCCATGCTTGCCCGTGAGAAAAAAAAGGGGAGAAGTTAAGTAAGGTGAGAAAAAAAAAAGTTTAACCAGGATTCGACTGGATACGCCTTTGCGTATTTATTTGCGAAAAAAGAGAAGAAGAGAGTGAGAGGAAAACCAAACACTTCTTTTATTAATCACCACCGTTCACGTCGCCTATAAAACTCGTACCTACCTGTCTCCTCCCTGTTGAAACGGCACAAAGCTCCATCCGTTCTGAAGGCTTTGTGGCCGAGTTCTCCTCCCCCACCTCCTCCTCCTCCTCCTCCTCTGTAGCCGAGCTGAGGCCAACGCGAGTAGTGACATTCTCCTGCAATGGGGTGCAAGTCGTGCGAGAAGCCCAGGCCGAACTACCGGAAGGGCCTGTGGTCACCGGAGGAGGACCAGAAGCTCCGCGACTACATTCTCCGCCATGGCCACGGCTGCTGGAGCGCGCTCCCTGCGAATGCCGGTAAGACCAATCGCCGCCCGCCGATGCCGCCGACGCGTAATTCACTACCCCTGCCGGCCGCCGCATGCAGCATTTGCGCTCCCCAAGCATAATTCGCGAGCTCTAGGCGCATTGCACCGACAATTATGCACCGAGGCACACACACAAAATCGGTGAATTCGCGTAGCCTGGTTGCATGCGGTTCTCTTTGCTGAATTTCTCTTGCCGACCCGTCTGAATTATGAACCAAACCGTTCTCTGAACAAACAAGACTCTGTTTCTTAGCCAATTCGTGATTAAATGTGCATTGTGTGTTGCTGCTTGAGAGCTGGTCTCACAAGAATTTGTCCGGCGATCGGTGCAGGGCTCCAGAGGAACGGGAAGAGCTGCCGGCTGCGGTGGATCAACTACCTGCGGCCGGGGCTGAAGCACGGCGTGTTCTCGCCGGAGGAGGAGGAGACGGTGATGAGCCTCCACGCCGCGCTCGGCAACAAGTAAGCTTTTCTAACTAGCAACTCCCCCGACGAGTCTCGTCCCAGTCGGGTCCGTGCCCAGTCCCCACACACCTCACCGGCAGCGCGCACTCGATCGTTCGCCTTTACACGCAAAATGATTGAGCCCGGAGACAATTCTCCACGTTGTGCTTGCTAGCTGCTGCTGCTGATGCTGCCTTTTCCTTTTTCAGTTTAGTACTAATCTCTCTCTCCACACTTAATTAAGCTACCTAGTGTAGTACTAGTACTACTACTACTAGACTAGACTATTAGTACCAACGCAACAGCGGCACTAATCTTTTTCGTGAGAAAGCTAGTTACTCTAGCTGATTTGTCCCAGTCCGGGCGCGCTAGTGCCGAGCTGGCAATTCGGGTTCTAGAACGCGCTGATTGACAGATTGTGAGTGACAGAGTGAGTGAAAGGAGAGGAGGAGCGGAGCGGAGGAGCGGAGAAATCAAAATATGAAATGGTGGAAAGGGAGAATTAACCGGGGTGATGCTGGCTGGCCGCCACCGCGACCTTTTCCGTAGTGGAGCTGATGCTGACGCGCACACGCTCCAAGAACGCTCCTGCGCATTCGAAAACCGCGAGATTTTTCGGTGCACGTTGCGATGATGGCTAGAGAAACCGTTGTGTGTTTTTTTTTTCCCCTTTCTTCCTTTCGCGCTAGTACATTTGTTTATTGTAAAGTGCGGGCCACTCTGGCTGAGCATGAGCAACAAGGACAAGTTGAGGGGGGACGGCTAGGATAATGTGGACTTGCAACGCTAAATGCCACACAGTACAGTTGCGTGCGTCCCAGAACAAGTTAGCTCGAATTAATTTTTTTTTTGGGGGGGGTCTATTTCTTCGATTTTTCTATCTTTTTTGTACAGGAAAAACGGACACTATTCATTTTAGTTGTACAGCGACGACGATAACATGTCGTCGACTGGTTGGACCAATCCGTTCTCAGTTGCGAGTTAATGAAAACAGCTGCCTTCACAATGCGAAACTGTCACGTAGGAGTACTAGTCTCGCGAGAAGATTAGATTCTTTATTGGGCGTCGCAATTATGTGCTTCCTTACAAAAATAAAATATCAAAGGATTAGTGGTCCACATGAATAGACTACGTACACGCTTGTCCCTTTCACCCCACAAGTGACACATTACATTTCTTTAAGCTGGTGACAGAGGAAAAGGAAACGAGAAATTGGAAAGAAACCTCAACTTGTCAATGCAAAAGCTTTGGGTTTTCCACTAACCCCCACCGACAGAAACCAAGATTAGTGAATTTTAAGCTGTGGCATACTACTAACCGTAAGGCAGAGAGAGACTGATCGATAGATCATTCCAAAAGGATAAAAATAACCTGACTTAATCACTGACAGCAATTTTTCTACTGCAGGTGGTCTAGGATAGCACGGCATCTACCTGGGAGAACAGACAACGAGGTGAAGAACTACTGGAATTCTTACCTGAAGAAGCGAGTGGAGAGCGGCGGCGGCAAGACGAGCCAAGGGCCACCAACCACGCCTGCGTCAGCCGCGAGCTCTCCCGCCGATTCAGACGACTCGCACAGCCTGCAGCAGAAGCCGCACGAGCCGGCCAACTCCGACTCGTCGGAGCCGGCGCACGAGTCGTCGTCGGCGTCGGCCGACTCGAGCTGCCTGACGGTGACCACGGACCACCCGCCCGTCTCGAGGCCCCACGCGGCAGTGACACCCAAGGTCATGTTCGCGGACTGGCTCGACATGGAGTACATCTGTGGGCAGGTCGCGGCAGCACCTGGTCTGGACGCTGCCGGATTCGCGGTGGTTGGTGGTGCTGCAGGCGATCAGCAGCAGCAGCAGCAGCAGGTGATGAGCCAGGACGGATCGGTTCATCAGGCCGATGGGCCATCGTGCGGCGTGGACGATTCTTCCCTGCAGCAGCAGCAGCAGGAGGGGTTCGGTGGCAACGGCGGCTGCTGGGATTTTCAGGAGCAGTTCGACAGCATCGACCAGATGCAGGCGAGCGGCGGCGGCGGCGGCTTCTGCGACCTGCTCTCCATGAGCGACTTCGACCTCTGGGCCGAGCTGGAACGTACCGCGTGATGGGGGAACGACGTGCTCAAGGATCGATTTTTAATTAGAGCTTGTTAATTCATAGATGTCCCGTGGAAATCAAATTAAGGGGTGTTTGTAATACTACTGCATTGTAAATTATCGCGGTGTATTTATAGAGCTGTTTAAATTAGCAACATATATAAGGAAGATCAGAGGCATGATAAGTCACTTCTGTACGAATTTATGTTTGCCACTTTGCTTTGGAGAGCATGGGCACCGACAGAAAGATGGAAAGGAAGAAGGAAAGCTGTAGAGAATTGCGCCTATGGATGCAATTATTTTGGTTTGTTTATTGTTGACATTATCTTTGTGCTTATAGTGATAGCATTATGGAACAATCTATTCATATCTCACTTTCAAAGACCCGCTGTGAAGTTCCAAGTTTTGTTCCACTCCATGAACTGTCAGTGTATCAGAGGTCCCTTCCTTTACACGTAGGCTTTCATTTCCACATAACTCGTAATGATTAAAAGTGTTCTTGTAAATATTGGATCAATTTCAACTAGTGTTAAGAAATTGCACCCTCTTTTATAAAGACCAATCTGTTAGTGCCTCCACTTTCTTCCCTTTTCTTCCTGCAGAACTTTAATTTTATTTCTTTTTCTTCCATTCATCTCTTTAAATGTACATATATTAGTAGAAGCTCCCACTTAATAAACGTCATAGGGTTCATTTGTTTTAAGGAAACAAATCCTATAATATTATTGTCCCCATGACGTGGTTAATGGCATGTGAGACCCATTCCCCATGGGCCCACTTATCAGCTACCACGTCCCTACTACTCTATGTTATATTTTGCATTACTCACTCCTAAGTTGTCTTTTTTTTGGACGGAGGGAGTATATTTTTATGTTTGACTAGAATATCATCGTTACATTTTTTTTATTACATACTCCCTCGTTCCAGAATATAACAACTTTGAGCACTCAACATTTGTCCCAAAATATAACAACTTCTCCCCAGCAATCTCGTTCCAACCAATCATAACCCTCTACCATTCACTTTTCCCACCTACCTTCACTACTTAACCAATCATAACTGTAACGTCCCGCCTTCCCCCAGGCCGGGCCCGCTTACATCTGATAGCTTTCATAGGTCATACACTCGTGTGCACCCGAGAAGAATTTCCCGGTCGGTCACCCATCCCAAATTGCTCCAGGCCAAGCACGCTTAACCCTGGAGAAAAGAAGTTGCAACTTGCCCTAGGTCGGGATGTTACACCTTCACCCCCTTAAGAGAGATCGACGCCCCCGTCGATCAACCCTAGGCCAGGTCCCACCTACCTTCACTACTTAACCAATCATAACTGTAACGTCCCGCCTTCCCCCAGGCCGGGCCCGCTTACATCTGATAGCTTTCATAGGTCATACACTCGTGTGCACCCGAGAAGTGTAACGTCCCGCCTTCCCCCAGGCCGGGCCCGCTTACATCTGATAGCTTTCATAGGTCATACACTCGTGTGCACCCGAGAAGAATTTCCCGGTCGGTCACCCATCCCAAATTGCTCCAGGCCAAGCACGCTTAACCCTGGAGAAAAGAAGTTGCAACTTGCCCTAGGTCGGGATGTTACACCTTCACCCCCTTAAGAGAGATCGACGCCCCCGTCGATCAACCCTAGGCCAGGTCCCACCTACCTTCACTACTTAACCAATCATAACTGTAACGTCCCGCCTTCCCCCAGGCCGGGCCCGCTTACATCTGATAGCTTTCATAGGTCATACACTCGTGTGCACCCGAGAAGAATTTCCCGGTCGGTCACCCATCCCAAATTGCTCCAGGCCAAGCACGCTTAACCCTGGAGAAAAGAAGTTGCAACTTGCCCTAGGTCGGGATGTTACACCTTCACCCCCTTAAGAGAGATCGACGCCCCCGTCGATCAACCCTAGGCCAGGAACGTCCTCTCTTGGCCACGTCCATGTGTCCAGTGCCAGCGCATGCGCCATGCTGTGTAACCACTCCCGGTCTACACCAGCCATGCGCACCATGCCATGTCTTTTCTGCACACTTTGTCCTCACTCGTGTGCACCCGGGAAGAATTTCCCGGTCGGTCACCTATCCCAAATTGCTCCAGGCCAAGCACGCTTAACCCTGGAGTTGTTTGGAGATTGGCTTCCGGAAAAGAAGTTGCAACTTGTTGATATGAGTATTCTATTAATCCTATTAAGCCTTAGGTCGGGATGTTACAATAACCCTCCATTATTCACTTCTATCTATTTTCTTAATAACCGTGTTCAACTCTAAAAATGCTTATATTCTAGCACGGAGGTAATACTTTTTATTTCTAATTTTCCAACAGTGTAACAAAAAACAATATTACCATATTTCAACTTAAAAAATTTAATCTTTCGGTTGGATCTCCCATCAATGTGGAGTTTCAGCTTTATTCTATACTGTACCTTCGGTTGTATGGTATACTATGGTTATGCATCATCCCGTATACGTGACGTAGAAGATAGGAATAGACATAGAGCATTATTTAAGAAGGATAAAGCTTTCTTCAATTTAAACCAAAAGAAAATTGATCGTAAAGAGGAAAAGTAAATGGCAAATATATCAATAGTCATTTCTTCTTTCATGTTCTTCTAAATGGCTATAAAAGCATCTCCTTTGTTGATCAAACAATGTTAGAGATGGAGTTCAGGTTCGAGTTCCCTTAATAACAACGGAAAATACTTGTTTTACAAATTAGACTTGACTTATCGAGCCAGGAAATTCCTATGCATATGCAACATCTTGTGATGTCTCACGTCTCTCTTTGCTTGCCAAGGTCTAAGTGAGTGAAGATCAAGCACACCCTTAATAACAAAAGAGAGAAGTTATGTTTCAACTAAATATATAAAACATAGCTCGCCCAAAGTTTAGCATCTCTAAAGCAGATTATTTCCGACTTCCATCCTCTGTTAAGAGGGAATCCACAAATGCCCCATAGATCATACGCAGACTCTAATTTGACTAATTTGAATAATAATTCAAAACTATTTTAAAGAGACAGTGATTACGAGACATTCATGCTAGTATGTTGCCATTCAAACCTTCCAAATAACAACGGTAAGCTATGGATTTTTTTAGAACTACGGTAAGCTATGTTGATATACTCTTTATGCTTAGGGTGTAGTCACATACATGTTCTTTTTTACCCCAATTAAATATCATCTTTTGGCACCTAAAATTCTATTTTCATATTATTTGTCGTAGTTACACTTAATAATAACAATTAAAACACTACAACAACCATTTACGATATATCTATATTAATTATTTAGTCATTATATTTCTATGCTCCTGCTAATAGATTAAGGGTTAAACTTGATAGATGGAATACCAATCACAAGTAGATTAAAAAAAAAGTAAAAGGGTCTCATTGTTTGCCTTATGTTTATAAGCCAAAGTTTAATTTTGAATATGATTTTTTGTTTTCTTCATCATAGTTTATTTTACATCATTTGTTTTTGAGTTGCTATGGACATGTATATAAAATTTTACTCATAAATAATTTTTATTTGCTAACAACTGTGGAGATTATGGGTACCCTATACCCACACGGCATGGTTATCCGACTAGTTATAGGGGATAACTTATATCTATAGAATATGTAACAGATTATGACTTGGGTATTACGTTTCCTTGTATATTACGGAACGGCCTAAAGTCCTGGTTTGATAAGATTGTAAAGTAGATTTAGGAAACCGATACCATATTGGTTAAGGTTTCTATCTTGTAATCCTGCCCCCCGTCCTATATAAAGTGGGCAGGAGGCCCTCTAGGGGGCATATGAGCACATATGATCGTTAGATCTAAACTACATCTGGCGGATTCAAATCCTCAAACAGGAGTAGGGTATTACCTCTCATTGAGAGAGCCTGAACTTGTCTAAATCTTTGTCTCCGCATCCATCCACTTTTAGGTCTCGTGCGCTACCCCTTTTATTATTGCCGAATTCATGTTTCGACAACAACATATTTGGAGTCTAATCGGTAGTGCTTACTGCAGCAGCGCAGCCGCAGCCAACCAGCCCAAATCTACACAAAACAGTTGATTTGCAGCAACATCAACAAGGTGTGTGCTACTTGTTGGCTGCTGCTGCACTGTGGCAGCCAGCACAAACTCAATGCCTTAGATAATAAGGGAGTGTTTGAAGAGAAGGGGATTGAGGAGATTGGGAAGATACGCAAAACGAGGTGAGCCATTAGCTCATGATTAATTGAGTATTAACTATTTTAAATTTTAAAAATGGATTAATATGATTTTTTAAAGCAACTTTCCTATAGAAATTTTTTGCAAAAAACGCACCGTTTAGTAGTTTGAAAAGCGTGCGCGCGGAAAACGAGAGCCAATCTCCCCTATCACCCCTAAACGAACGATGCCTAAGTACTTTGAGTAAGCGAAACAATGGAACTGGAAGATTGTTTTGAATTTAAAAATACACATAAAAAAGTTTGAAAAGAAGACCCTGATTTATCAGCAATTGAGCATCTCGGCAAGGTTCTCGCCGCTCGGCGTCCCGGCCCAGCCTTTTACTCGTGGGCATAAAATAGACAGGGCCGATATCGTAATTTCCTCCTTCACAAATCCCAAACCGCCGGTGCCCTAGCTATCGACGACTCGGCGGCGACGCGCCTCCCTGGCTCCCTCCCGTCGCTCCTCCTCCCCGACCCACGAACTCCCCCCAATAGGGCAGAAAGGAAGTTCAAATTTGCTCCTGATCCGAGCGCCAAACGCCTAGATTCCACCACCCAAGCCTCCTCTCCCAATCCGATCTGCCGTTCCCTCTTCGAATCGGCTCCCCCTTCTCGCCGATTACCGACGAATCCGAGGCCCTCCTCCTCCTTCGAATCCATGGATCCGCGCGCCAGGTACCCTCCCGGCATCGGCAACGGCCGCGGCGGGAACCCCAACTACTACAACCGCGGCCCGCCGCTGCAGCAGCAGCACAACCACCACCAGCAGCAGCAGACGTCGGCGCCGCACCACCAGCAGTACGTGCAGCGCCAGCCGCAGCAGCATCACCACCACAACCACCACCAGCAGCATCAGCAACAGCAGCAGCAGTGGCTGCGGCGGAATCAGATCGCCCGCGAGGCCGCGGGAACCGACAGGAATAGCGAGCCGAAGGCTGTGGCGCAATCCCCAGCCGTCGACGGCATCGATTCGAGGTGAGACCGTGAGACGCGTAGGCCTTAGAGTTTGGCGATAGATTATGTGATGTTCAACTTCAAGGGATGAATTAAGGACCAGTGTTGTGGGTGGCTTGTTTGTTTAATTTTTTTGTGGCGAAATTGGACCAAATGCAGTTTGAGACATATGCTTTCCCTGCAGCATCCTGCGAAGTGAGCACTGCAATTTCGTATTCCGTAGTGGCAATCACTGAATGTTTTTTGTCCAAATATGTGTTCATATGTTGCCTAGGCTGGTACTGGAACTAGGGTTTGCTGCATTCTAGGTTTGTAATTTGTGAAACTAGAAGTTCTACAAACAGTAGGTAGGCTGGTGAATAATATATCTGATCATTGGCGCAGATATGGTTATCACATTGATCATATGCTCACCTTTTGTGCAGTTCACAAGACTGGAAGGCCCAATTGAAGCTTCCACCTCAAGATACACGATACAGGACAGAGGTAAATCGCATTTATAAAATTTTCCCCTATTTTTTCTTCAAAGCCAGGCAACCGGTGCTTTGTATGCTAAGGATTACACTTGACAATTGTAATTGCAAAACATGTTGACTGTCATCTGCGCTTTGCCCTACCTATCAATTGTTATTCTGCCAAACAATTCAGTGTGGCAGGAGTTCCTTTACCTTTATGATTTTTTGGTGTCGCACATTGTAAGCTAATTACTATCTCCAGTCACAAATACATGTCTTGAAAATTGACATGGCCTTCCAAATACAGCTTTGACACTAATTTCTAATTTAATGTATTAATAGAACCCACTAAAGTTATAATGTTATGAAAAATCACCTTTCAAGACAAATTTACATATATTATGTTCATGTATCCAATCTAAATATTGTAAATGGTCTTGAAAGTTTTACTAAATGCTTGTCCAAAACAAGAATTATTTGTGACCCAAGGGATTATTAATTCCGATGATTGAAATTTAATTTGCTAAACTGGGTTTGAACATCTTTTCACACCCATGAGATATCCTAATGTTGCTAATCGATGCTCTTTATTTCTGTTATCCAATTCAAACAAACAAAGTTTAATCCTATGTGGTCATTGTAATATCATGTTGATACCTTCTTGTCTAAAACAAAATAATACCTTGATGACTTAAAACATGCACATTAAGTGTTGTTAAGCTGGAATGCCCCAAGCTCCTTACTATCCTGGAGGCCACATGACTCAGTTAAATAATTAAAGTTTCATCTTACTGAGTTACTGTGCTCTTATATGTTTTCCCTTGTGCTCTTTAATCTTATTTGTATAATTTTATCTTTGTATAGTTCTTCCCCACTGTCTTGATTGAAAGAATAATTGAATTTTCAAAAGAATGTGCTCTCATGGCTTGAGTTTGCTCTGGATATCGACATTCTTATTTTCTTGCTCTTATTTTTTTTGCCTATTCTTTTATTTTATTTGGAGATATTATTTATGAGTTTATATGATGTTGGTGTCATACTCTCTGCATACTTTATTATATTCTGCTGTTGTTGCACAGGATGTTACAGCCACCAAAGGAAATGAGTTTGAAGACTATTTTCTCAAGCGTGAACTTCTGATGGGAATATATGAGAAAGGATTTGAAAGACCCTCTCCGATCCAAGAAGAAAGCATTCCTATTGCATTAACTGGTAGTGATATTCTAGCCAGAGCAAAAAATGGAACTGGCAAGACTGCTGCATTTTGTATCCCTGCACTAGAAAAGATTGATCAAGAGAAAAACGCTATTCAAGGTTTGTTCCAGAATCCAAACTATTAAACTTATTTTGTACCAACTCTCACAGTCAAACATGCTATAAACCTGTGCCTTTATAATGCCTGTTGGACCTCCTTTGGTACCGTTTATTTTATATTATTACTTTTTTTGGGGTGTTGGGGGGGGGGTGGCCTGTAGGGGATCTTCTTTAGTAAATATAATATTATATTGTGCAAGAATGGTTCAATGATTGCTCTTGTTATTTGTAGTTGTTATATTGGTTCCCACAAGGGAGCTGGCTTTGCAAACGTCACAAGTTTGTAAAGAGCTTGGGAAACATCTGAAGATCCAGGTCATGGTCACCACTGGAGGAACCAGCCTGAAAGATGATATCATTCGTCTCTATCAACCTGTCCATTTACTTGTTGGAACGCCTGGGCGTATTTTGGACCTTACAAAGAAAGGTATCTGCATTTTGAAGGACTGCTCTATGCTTATCATGGATGAGGTAATTCATCTATTCTTTGCAATTGATATTATATTCTCATGAAAACTGTTCAGCAGTTCAGTACTCAGTGCCTTCCCAGTTGTATATGTTATTTCATGGCTCAAAAGATTATTTTATAAGGAGAAATTAGGGATTGGGCTAAAAAGAATAGTAAAAATCTCATTTACAATCAAACAATTAGTGACAAAAAAAATTAGTGTTTCTATATACTTAATGCAAGTATTTTTTTTAGTTGCTCTTTCCTAAGTTTTTCCTTCAAATTAATGTTTGCATCCTTCTTGGGTTGTGCTGAACCAATGAACCCCGTTTCTTGTGTTTACAACTGATTATTCTGCTTGCCAATACCCATATGCTGAATTCTTGTTATTACACTATCCCTTGTTTGTACTTCTTTCCAGATATGTTTGTCTTTAGTAAATTTCACGAAAGCCCAGGTTTTCAGGCATCTGTAATGCAAAACCCATTGTATTTTAATTTGTTTTAATGAACCCCAGATTTTGGGAAACACTTGACTACCTATTGCACTATTTTACTTGGATTGTAAATTTATTGCTTAAGACAACAGCAATGACAACACAACTAGGAATATTTTGGAACATCCTGCATACAGGGAAAAATAAGCACAAAAAAAAGATTTGAGTAGCCCATTCAGAGTGTGCGGTGTGTCTATGATAGGTACTTGGCCACCGGGAGGTAGGGACTTAGGGTGCGTTCACGAAACGAGAAAGCTCATTAACACATGATTAATTAAGTATTAACTACTATAAACTTGAAAAATGGATTTATTTGTTTTTTAAAAGAAACTTCTACATATATTTTTTTTTTCACAAAACACACTTTAGCACTTTGGAAAGCTAATGGAAAACAAGGAAGTTGTTGCTTGGAGTTGAAGCTTAGAGCAGGGCCTTAGTATTAGTCCTTCTAAAAAGAACCAGTGTAATGGTTCATGAGGCGAAGTAGTATCTTCAAGTGAGAACTGAGAAACATCGTGGTTTTTCTTTTTTGCACCATTTAAGATTCTAGTGAACTATATGAACCTCTGTTTTTTGAGAATCTACGTTGCATGATTTGGCTTGATAACGATAATTTGTTTTGGTTGTGTAGCATTGAACATTTTAGTTGATAAGAATTTTTATCTTCTTACGAGTGAAATATTGCCTTCTGTTCAGGCAGACAAGCTTCTCTCTCCTGAGTTCCAGCCTTCCGTGGAACAGCTGATTCGTTACCTTCCAGCGAGCCGGCAAATTTTGATGTTCTCGGCAACGTTCCCTGTGACTGTGAAGGAGTTCAAGGACAAATACCTGCCTAAACCTTATGTTATTAACCTTATGGATGAACTTACACTGAAGGGAATTACACAGTTTTATGCTTTTGTAGAAGAAAGGCAGAAAGTTCATTGCCTTAACACTCTCTTTTCCAAGGTTTTACCGATGAGCACCTTTGCTTTGTGTTCAGTTAGCCACTTTTACCTCCCTTATAGCCTGTAAATCATGCACATTTGTTTTGATGCAGCTTCAAATCAACCAATCAATAATCTTCTGCAACTCTGTAAATCGTGTTGAGCTTCTGGCAAAGAAGATCACGGAGCTTGGTTACTCTTGCTTCTACATCCATGCAAAGATGCTGCAAGACCATCGTAATAGAGTTTTCCATGATTTCCGTAATGGGGCATGCAGGAACCTGGTTTGTACAGGTATGGAATTCTCCGTGTTCCGCATCAACTCTTGACTGGTTCTATTCTTGATGGATATTTGTTACTGTTCACTGTCTAGTGAAATCTCATTAATGTCCTACTAGAACTAATTGTTTCAGCCGATCTGAATGTATTTTGTTACTTCATCCCTGCTTTTGTATATTCTTTTTCTTCTTAAAAAGAAGCGTTGATGACAGTGTTGGTGTGCTTTATTTACCCGCAATCCAGATGTTCCGTAGATGGATTTATGTGAATACGCATGTGTTATATCTTATTTTACTAATGTATTCATTATTTGTACATGTGCATATGTTGTTGTTAGCTGGTGGTATAATTAAAATGTATGCAACCTTTTTGATCCAAGTGTAATTAATTTTCAAACTCACAATGTGTCATACATATATTTGAGATGTGTGGCAACACAGGTACAATGAAAAGGAGGAAACAATATGCTAATTTTAATACTTCACTACCAAGTTCTGTTTCTTGCAAGCCTCCATAATTCACTTATATGGAATAGTTTTGAAATGTTGTGATTTTGTGCAAGTATATAGAAATGTGTGGATATATTGCTTACGGCTACACGAAATTCTGATATTCTTTCTTCTATTTTAACTTTTCATTTCTTTTTTCTTTGCAGATCTTTTCACAAGGGGAATTGACATTCAAGCTGTTAATGTTGTTATCAATTTTGATTTCCCCAAAACCGCTGAAACATACCTCCACAGGGTATGGCATTTGAATAAATTCAGCTTTTGATCTTAGGCTTTAATCTAATTAGGATGTCATATGCTGCTATGAGAATAATATTCTAGAAACTAATCTTAACCAGTAAGATGTTTGTACTAAGAAGAAAATGCACACACAAGTGTTAGATCAAATGTGGAAACATGCACACATATGTTTTATCATGTAATTGGTTGCCCCTGTAATTTGTTCATAGTTTGGAACTAAATACCAACTGTTATTGTCATGGTATCTCTCCTTTGCAATGTTGTGTAGGCAGTGCAGTTCTTTAACTGTTATTTTGTTGGCCTTTTTCTAGGTTGGTAGATCTGGGAGATTTGGCCATCTTGGCCTGGCTGTGAATTTGATCACCTATGAGGATCGGTTTAACTTGTATGAACAATTACCCACCACAATTTTATTCATGTATTTTATTCTGACGTTTGGTTCATTGAACTAAGTTTTCTTTCTGGGAACAGGTATAGGATTGAGCAAGAGCTTGGGACTGAGATAAAACCAATTCCTCCTCAGATTGACCAAGCTATATATTGCCAATAATTTGACAGAGTTCCAGCGTGTATTCACTTTCTCTAAGGGTAATAAGAAGACAATTCTTGTAAATACCAGCTCATCAGGTAACTTATTCTTATGATGAACAAGGGCAATGCTTAGCTTTTAATTTTGTTATTTCACAACTACCGCAATGGAAACTATTGTTTTCTGTTTTTTTTAGTTAGCCTGGTTTTACTGTCAGAAAATGCAATCTGCACATATCCATCAAAGGCTTTTTTAGTTAACGTATGTCCACATGCGAATGTGGCATATCACTGGTCACATTTAGTCCAAAATGAAGGTGACTGTAAGAGCGAAATCTGCTGCATGAACATATTAGTGACACTAAAATGAATGTAACTGGGTGTTTTGGCATCCCTCGGTTGTCAATAACCATGCAAATCATCCATGCTGCAGCACATACATCTGAGTTTGATTTGGAGGTTGAAAAGCGAGGTAGATGGCAGATGTCTTGGAAATGTAACTTTTCATACATAAAACAGTGTTTTCAACTTTATCTTTTTTTCTGAGTCTTGCCTACTTTATTCAAAGAACTAGGAGTTATCACTATTTCTTTTTCTAGAATTTTTTTGCTGTTGTGCATTTTGTCATGGCATGTGCATTTGTTACTTTATTTTGCCTTAAAAGTACCATCATAGTATTTAAATGTGGCAGTTCCATGTTCACTCTTTTAACTTTTTAACAACATAGCAGACATGATCTCCGTTTGTATATGTGTTTTGCATGCTGAGATTGCTTGCTCAAGAGCTTATAAATTGCCAAAATTCAGGAGCTTTAGTTGACATTGTGTTACATGTGCAGGTTTTATCATGGATCTCCTGTGGCATATGGGAACATTCATTTTTGGAGTTTTATTTGAGATGAGACAGACTACTCTTCCGATGGACACCTTGTGCTTATATCATTTTGGCTAACTAAATTCAAACGCCCTCACTGAGGCACACAGTAGTGTATATTGCTAGGTGCCTGTTCATGTGCCTGTCCTGGCCTCTTAGCTCTTATGATAATCTCTCCCCTTCTCTAGATTTCGTTATCGGCTATTTCTCACAGGACATTTTAACCCTGTTAGTGGTTAACTGGTTGTGGGCTGTGCCATGTCAGTGCACACATTCCAGTTGACGTGCCATCGGGTGTGGACAAGTTCATCCAACTTGTGCTCTGAACTGTCAATGAACAGTAAGCAGCACAACAAGCGTCTTCAGATATTAGCGAATAAATCTGTCGCAAGCCGCGTTTCTGCATCCGTGCCATGCAGCTCTTCTCTTGCATGAGGCTTGTGCCATTATGTTTAGATTCTGCCTCTTATAATTGAGTCTAATGGTTCTACAAACTGAGTTTACCTGTCCTGAGAACTGGGTAAAACATGTGGTGAGGCACATGCAACTTGATAAATAAATTTTTTACTTAAGTGAAATTCTCACTCCTGGTTCATTCTATGTTTGCCTTTAACCGTGCTGGAATATTTTCGCTGATGGTTACCAAATCCACGGTGCTATGGTTGGTGAAATCTTGAAAAGATTATGTTAAATAGTCCCAATTAATTACAGCTATCTTGAAGGATATCATCTGTTACTACTTGCAATGATCTACTCATAATACCTTGTTTGGGTGTCTTAAATCCCAAGATACAGTCTGTTATACGGGTTCGTCGAAGGGATTTGTGCACCCTGCCATGCTTGTACCCTGCATATGCTATCGGTGGTTCTGAAATCCTAGCACATATCCCTTTCGTTTCATAATAAAACAACGTAATATTGAGTGTGACACGTTCTAAAATTATAAATCTGGATCTCTATCAGATTTGTAGTATTAGTTTGTGTCACATTTTTTATTTGTTATAAGGTTGGTTTTTCATGGGATTGATGGAGTATAGCATACTGTAGCAGCCAAGAACAGAAAGGGAAATATAATCATGCGCAATGAATGGGTTTGCGTATCAATCTCCCTTCCATTGCTGGACAAGCCCCTCTGCACAGCCCTCACGGGCGTTTAGCATGGTAAGCTGAGAGTGGCAAGTGTTCTCAAGCAACAGGGGTGGGGTGGTCGTCAATGGCTCCAACGTGTACTAGGCACTACTGAAACATACACCCCCTGATTCCCATGCGGTCGACTATTATATGCTTGTGCTGCGCCTTGCATTCAAACAGTAACAGTATTTTGTGTTCTTTTCTCATAGTCGATTTTTGCAGTTGCAGTGCCATCACGGTCAGGGGATATTTTTCTCCGGCCTGCCACTCTTTTTTAGATAAGTTTCTACTCATCTCTGATGCTGCGACTGTGAGAACGACAACACCTGACCTTGCTACGGAGTATTTTGTCGTAACTCTTGTCTTGCGATCGTCCTGGAGGTTATTCAAAGCTCGACTAGGCTAGTTTGAAATTGGACCACCAATTGCATATCCAGAATTGATGCACTGGAAAGCGACGCCCTGTATACGAAATGGGCAGTGTTGCAGATCTTGACCAATACTGGAGGATCTTTATCCTAAGAAAATTGTGGGAACTAGGAAAATTGTGGGACTAAGAAAATTATGAAACTGAATACTGAGGAGTTGTACATCTCTCTACCTTGGGTGAAGTAGCAAGACTCTATCCTCCTCTCCTGTTCCATGCCGTCTCGACTCCATCATACACCATGAATGAGAACTGACACTGCGTCGCCTTGGAGAACAAAAAACGTGGTACATTTGGCTCATCTGGATCGTCTGGCTGAAAAGAGCGCCACACTGCATCGGAACCGCTACAGTGCTTCGCCTACAGCATCAACGACAGAAACAGCACCGGTACATGTACCAACAGATTAACCGAACAGTGGCACTCCGAGTCCCCCCCACCAAAACACCTGTCCGTTTGAGATCATCATGGCGACGCCCGCCCCGCGCCCAGCCCACCCGCTTCAACCACGAGCCCTCCCCTCTCCCTGCGAGCCTGCGTCTGCGACTGCCACTGCAGTGCAGCGGCCACAGCGAGCAGTGGATCGCAGCGAGGCAGGAACTCATCTCTGAACTCCACATTTACTTCGCCCCTCTCTCCCTCTCTCTATGTGACCCATACGCTTTCCCAGACTCAAAATCCGAGCTACGCTCGTTTGGCCAGAAGCCTCATTTAAGATTACTCCCCCTGCTTTTCGTCTCGGCATCGCCGGCCTTGCTCGCACTATTACTCCCACGCAGTTGCTGCTGCTACCCCCACTCATCACACTGGCTGTCAACGTGCGGCGCTGCTACCGTGCTACGCTCACCAACGAAAGCTGCCCCGTGAAAGGCTGTAGGGGAGCATGGAGTTCCTTGAAATGCATGGTAACTGGTAGAGATGTTTTAAAAATAATAGCCATTTCCCTATAAATTTCTATAAATTTATTGAAATAATGGAGATTTATAGTAAACTGGTAGAGATTTATAGGGAAACTTGCGATGGGAAATAGCCATTTATAAATTTTAAAAATAATGATTTATTTCCATTATTTTTAAAATTTATTGAAGATTTTTTTTTTGAAATTTATAGTAAACTTCTTCAATAAATTTTAAAAATAAACCATACATTAACTTTTTTTTGAAACAAAACCTTCAGCTACGGTTCTAGCCATAGTGTTTGGTGTTACATGCTAGGATCAGTGCACTGTAATATTATTAGGGGGCTATTATACCACGAGATTATGTCTAAACCAAATGATACCAATAAGGAATTAGACTCTGATACTTATCAGTATCAGATATAGTACATCAATTGATACATATGGATACCAGCCGATACCTAATGATACCAGGCAGATAACTACTAGTACCAGACTTGGTACCCGTCGGGTATCATATATGAAGCTTAGAGGGGAGGGAGAGGAGCGGAGATGGTTACCGGCTGCGATTCTCTCACCGTGAGACGATGGCGAAAAACGCAGGCGATGCCAAATCTACCTTCCTTTTCCATTTCCCCTCCATTTCCTATATTCTTCCTCTTTCCTTCACATCTTCCTCCTCTGTTTCTTCTAAACGAGACCCATCCCGTCCTTTTGCATTGTGTGGCTATAGGAGACCAAATTGCCCCCTATCTATCAATGTTAAGGCTTCGTCACAGCCATCAGCTCGACCAGTCCAGTCCATACCATCACCGCCCCTGTGTGTGAAGAACCCGCACTGCACCAACGCACCACAAACAGCCGCTGCAAAATCTAGCCACCACCGTGCAACAATCTCGTCGTGGAATCTAGCCATCTTCAGGTCGTTCTTTGTCATAGCGGCGCGAGGAAGTGAGAGATCCCGTCCCAAACACGAGGAATGGATTTCCTGTACCTAGCATTCCCATAAATATTATGATGGAGTTAATTTTGCTAAGAGCAATATAGCTTAAAAAGAGTTACTAACTGTACCCAAAATTTAAACATTTCAATCTAAATTTAGCTAGAAATGCTTGTATTTTAGGATCGGCCGAGGAGGTTGCTAGATGTACACTTGCGTAGGACGGTAGGAGTAGGCCCAAATGCGACATGAGGTCACGGCCACAAAGTTATGATACACTTGCGATGGGTACCCAACAATTAGTACTACTAGTGGTGCTTATCATACAGTAATAAATACTTCATCTGAATTACTCACTTGAATGCTTGATCTGATGGCCCGAAGTTACTCTTCGGCTAGTTTGCTTTGGTACAAAGTACTCCCCATGAAAGGACATATACCAGTGATAGTTCTATCTCTCCCCCGCTTGCGTATCCCGGCCACTCGACTACTCGAGTAGTGGCAGCAGCACGACTGCACGACGCTAGTACCCGGGCGTCACCGTCGCCGTTGCGCGCGCGCGCTGTACTTGCAAGCAAAAGCCCCCCTCGTCAATTGAATGCGTGCGTCGCGCAACGCAACGCAAGCACGCGCCGGGTTTTATTTTCTTTTCTTCGTCGTCTCCCACACTCTCCGCTTCCGTTCCGTCTCGTTGTTGTTGCTGCCGCAGCAGCGCAGGTGAAAATCTCCGGCATTTAAGGTTGCGCCGCGGGGGATCCTCCTCGGCCACAAACAAAACCACCCTCGTCCTCCGCGCCTCTGCTAGCGAGTACTCCTACATAGACTAGCCACGTCTCCCCCCAAATCTTTTCGCACTTCCTTTCCCCTCCCTTTCACCCACTGAATCACTCGAAGTCGTCGTCTCGTCCACGGCCCTGCTGCCTCGTGCGCTCCGGCAGCTTTGCCGGGGGTGGGTGGGGGAGCGCGCGCCATGGGGAGGGCGCCGTGTTGCGACAAGAAGGGGCTCAAGAAGGGGCCGTGGACGCCGGAGGAGGACAAGCTCCTCGTCGACTACATCCAGGCCAACGGCCACGGCAGCTGGCGCCTCCTCCCCAAGCTCGCAGGTACCGGCTGGCTTCTCTGTTCTTGCGAGGCAATGCTTTGCTTCTGTCACGTTTTCGTGTTCGCGTGCCGCACTAGTGCTGAACTGCTGATCAGCACATTCTGAGAATCTGTCTTGATGATTTCGGCCTTAGATGCTGCTTATACTCGATTGCATCTGCATACCTTCAAGCTGCAATAATCACCCACAAGCTCGATTGGGGCTAAAATACACAAATTATTTCATCGTATACAAAGTAGGAGTACTGATTAAGTCGTACACTCGGCGAGTACTAGGCTCACTCGTACTACTCCCTGCTGGGTTTTCCTTGATCTTCACTCCAGGCATCAGCATTGCCTCCAGCTACGAACACTCGGTCACTCACTCCAGGGCTCCAGGCTCCTACCATTACCATGCCCATGTTGTGCTACTCTCTTTTCGTGCATGAGAAGTACTCGGTATTATTCACAGGAGCTGAGAGACTCTAGTCCGTTCCATCTGGATAACACTTCGTTTTGCGTTGCATGCAGGGCTGAACCGGTGCGGCAAGAGCTGCCGGCTGCGGTGGACGAACTACCTCCGGCCGGACATCAAGCGCGGGCCCTTCACCGCCGAGGAGCAGAAGTCCATCGTCCAGCTCCACGGCATCGTCGGCAACAAGTAAAGTCCCCCTTGCTCGTCTTCATCTCCTTCACCTAGCGAGCGAGTAGCCGAGCAGGACTGGCAGACTGACCAGCTCACATCGCACAGCCACTGTGTGCTAGTGTGCACTGCTCGGTGCGCAGCTAAGCTAGCGCACCACACCGTAGCACTGTACATGCACACTGTGCATGGCTCCTCACTCATTCAATGTTGACACATCGCATTCTCCGATCATCACATCATATATGATATATCCCAAACCGGCCGGCTGGTGTACTACCAGTATATATAGTAGTGGTACTTGCTTGTTTGGAGTATGTACATGTCTAGTTTAGCTTGGAGTCCCAGTGTATATTTAGGCCATTCCACTCTAAAATTTTTCTCCCTATCACATCGAACATTTTACGTTTGAACACCTACGCGAAGTATTAAATATAGGCTTAAAAATGACTAACTGCACAGACACAACTAATTTGAGAGACAAAACTTTAAAGCTAATTGCTCCATGATTTAACAATGTGATGCTAGATTAATTAGGCTTAATAAATTTTACTGATGAATTCTATAATTAGTTTTTTTTATTATTGCCCAAACACCTTATATAATACTCGATTATAATACCCGATGTGATACGCAAAATACTTACATCCCGGATCTAAACACCCCCTTTACTCATTTACTGTAGTTCTATACTGTGGTAAATATTCAATCCAGTTAGATATCACTAGAGTGTACTACTACTAGCAGCGCATTGATTAGAAGTGGTGGCACACACCTGCTGTTTGTTCTGGCCAGGTGGTCCATGATCGCGGCGCAGCTGCCCGGCCGGACCGACAACGAGATCAAGAACTATTGGAACACTCACCTCAAGAAGCAGCTGCGCCGGATGGGCCTCGACGATCCGCCGCCCGGGCCGGCGGCGGGCTGCCCGGCGGCGCGTCACATGGCGCAGTGGGAGACCGCGCGGCTCGAGGCCGAGGCGCGCCTCTCCCTCCTCTCCTCCTCCGGCGCCGCGGCGACGACGACGATCACCGCCGCCACCACCACCACCTCCGCCTCGTCGTCCTCCACCACCGCGGGGCCCGTCGCCGCCGCCGCGACGTCACCCGCGGACGTGTTCCTCCGCCTCTGGAACTCCAGCATCGGGGACTCCTTCCGCAAGCTAGCCGTGGTGGCGGCGGGGTCGTCGTCCCCTTCGCGGGCGGACGTCACGAAGGACGCTGTGAAGCAGGAGGAGGAGGCGGCGCCGGCCGGGGACGACTCGTCGGCGGCGTCCAACGAGGTGGAGGCGGCGACCATGGCGGTGGACGAGTACCAGATGTTCCTCGACTTCGCCGGCGAGGAGCTGGGCCTGTTCCACGGCCGGTACGGCGGCTTCTCGCTCTTCCCGCCGGTCGACTTGCTCGAGGCGTCGCTGGAGACGGCGTTCAAGTGACCCGTACGTCGACGACGACCTTGCTCGCCGCGCGCCATGTACGACGTACTACGTACTCCGCAGCCGCAGCAGCAGCATCATGCCTCGACGTAGGAGTATGTATATAAGCAAGTGTTCTGGGGCGTCCGGACAGTAGGCGCGTCCGTGTGAAGGGTAGGACACACGTACGAGACGTGGGAGAAAATTTTGGGGATCAATTAGGGTTCTAAGGATAATCTGTAGCTTGGGGTTTAGGCATGGGGGGAACATCATGGTGTGTATTAGTATTACGGCCTTTTGGATGGCATTCTCTGGGGGGCAAGGGGCTTACCGGAGATGCTCTAATACATTCAATGATGTTCGATCTTTCAGTGTTGGATATGGAGCTGGTTTTATCTGTGTTGGTTGATCTCAGCAGGAAACCAAGAGAAGAGAGAGTTTGACGCCAAGAAAGAAGAGAGGAATTCAGGAAAGTTATCTACCAGGAAACTACGGCCCTTGACTTTCTGTAGACCAACAATGGACCTCGTTACTTCTGCTGATTACTCTTCAGCCTTCAAGCACTGGAGCTGTGCTATAGCCCCTAGTTTATCCTCGTGATCTTTCTCTGAGGTTGTGTTGAATATATATACATAATCGGTTATAGTTTAGAACTTAAATTTATATTAGATATTAGGATAGTAGCGAATCTTCTGTGAGCGTATCTTTTGAGTTTACTTTTACTGTCTTATGAGCATGTCGTGACTATCCCGACGTACGGTAAGTATACTATCAAGATTGAGGAGATAACTTCGATATACGATAGAAACAACATGCTACTTTGAAATGTGAGACATGTGTCAGAACTAAGGAAGAGATCAATTTCACTTGTGAGCCTGCCTACATAAGAAAGAGTGGTCGTATTAGGTGGATTATGATAGAAAGACCATAAACATCATGAATAACGGAAAGACTGTTATGACTAGTGAGAGGATGAGGCTCATGTTTGTGCAAGCTACATGGGGACACGGTTATAGGTGGAGTCATAGAAGATGGGTATGTTGGTGTTGCAGTGCACGTTCTTGAAGACCGTGAGGCAGGCAAAGGTTCGTCGAGTGGCTTGACGTGAGCGGCGAAAGGAAATAACTTAAGTCTAGGTACACGGAGGTTTGCACATTGAGTAAATTCAGATTTGCTTGACATATTCGCTAGGTGGAGTTTGTTAAAATTTGTATCTAATATATGTACGTAAATGATTATGACTCAGAGTCGAACTATGTTCTAGGCTCTCCTAAATAGAGATACACATATGTTCTAACCACGTAGCAACTTAGCATAGATGATTCTTTTAACCATAGTGGTTATAGTCAATTATCCAGTTCCATTCATTATGCATGCATATCCCTTCCTCCCTACTCTACATCTTAGGCTGTGTTCTTTCCTTCAAGTTCCCAACCCCTCTCCCTCGTTTTCCGTGCGCACGCTTTTCAAACCGCTAAACAGTGTATTTTTTATAAAAAGTTTCTATACGAAAGTTGCTTAAAAATCAAATTAATATATATATTTTTTTAAAAATTAGCTAATACTTAATTAATCATGTAGTAATGCCTGCTCCGTTTTGCGTCCCCTCCTCCCGAACGCAGCCTTAGATAGCTTGAAGATCAACCCCGTCTCCCTGACTTCCCACCCTTTTGGTCCCGTTCGTTTCTGCTTTGGATTAAGATTAAAAACGGGCATGTAAAACAAAAAACTATTAGCGTATGATTAATTAATATTTAAGTACTACAACTTGAAATATAAATATATTTGTTATTTTAAAGCTATTTTCATATATATTTTTTCGCGAAATACGACGTTTTAATAGTTTAAAAAGTATGCTAATGAAAATCAAGGTAAAATTTTAATTTTATTGAGAAAAATGTGCTAACGAAAACCAAGGTAAAATCTTAATTTCATCCTCCCTCGCAATTCTTTTGCTCCTTGATAATGCTTCTACTTTGAGCCATTGATCATCTTCTGTACATAATCGTCTTTCACATGGCATCACTTTTTTTCATTTCCCAAGGTTCGCACATGTAAACACTATTATTTTATCACCCTTTAGTATGTAACTTTGGTGGTGCCATTATCATTATCAGGATTTACTAAACCATTGGGAACAAGGTTACTGTCACCCCACGGTTTGGTGGTTACCACGGTAGCCATGCGGTTACTGCGAAAATTATAAAGTATATCGTGATTTTAAAAACTGAGAATATTATCACCTATAATAACCACCATAGCACGATTTTATAAACTCTGGTCACTATACATAATTCTTGAAAATCCGTTAAGAAGGAATGTACTTTTTATTGATAAATTTTATATTATAGTAGTGCTAATATGCATGCATCGAGATGCATGAATTTTTATGTAGGAATCAGATTACGGTTTTCTTTAGAGCTAACATTGCTATAATACCACTTTGCTTAAAGGATATTGCTACCACTGAGTAAAAGCGCGTGGGATCAGAAAAAGGGGTCCCTGATGTGCAGTGGCTGACTCTGTTTGACTTGTTTCTATTCAGAAAAAGGAGTAAATGCACCGGATAGCCGGTGGGGCCAGCCCGACGAGAAAACGAATTTATTGCCACGCTCAGATAAAAGGCCAAACCAGAGCAGCGAAAGGTTTGCCACGACACCTGCAGCACAGGAGCAGCCTGTTGCCTGTGGTGGCTTCATCGCCAGGAAAGAACAGAAATGGGCAGGGCAAGCTCGTCGCCCCTACGCTAATGATTCTCTTCTGGGAGATACTATTAAATGCCGTGCCATTGTGGTCCTTTGGATATGATTGTCATTTAGAGTTTGTATAGTTCATGTTAAAATTTAAAGTTTGGTTGAAATTGAAACGATATGACGGAAAAGTTAAAAGTTTGTGTGTAGAAAAGTTTTGATGTGATGAAAAAGTTAAAAGTTTGAAAAAAAAATTGGAACTAAACTCGGCCTTAATCAGGACTGTCGTGATGGATAACAGTGAAGAAACGATTCTTTTTTAGGAGTAAAGTAACCTTCCCACACTGTTTGCTCGGTTTGTGATCGCGGCAAAATTTTCACTTCATACCCAGGGAGAACGTAAAAATTACTACGTATGTTCCAGTCATCTAGTAGAATATTTAGGCCCGCTTTATTCGAAAGAAAATTATATGATTTATATGGATTTTATTCCTATATGATTTTTTTCCTCATATAGTCCTTTGAATCAAATTAATGGTCACTATAGAATCTCATAAAATTTATGCGAAATATCTCATTCCGTCTAAGTTTTGGAGAAAATCTAATATGAGGTAAAACCTTATGAATTTTTTTTTCATATTTTCATCTCTCCTTAAATTCCTATGTTTTTTTATGGTCCAATCAAACGATCATTCTCATCTTTTTTTTTTCAATCATGTATGTTAAACTTGATACTATCAAAATAATGTGTTTTTCGTGTTTCTTCATTTTCTCAGTCTTGCATTTTAAAAGGCCCTTTATACTTACTCCATTTCAAAATATAATCGTTTCTAATTTTATCCTAAATTAAACTTTCTTAGTCCCACCGTGTTTATAGAGAAGAGTATTAATGATGATCATTTGGTGTCGCAAACACTATTGTCATTTCAATACACTCGATCAAATTTAGAATAATTCGACTTAAGTAGGATGATGCTTATGATATAGGACGAAGGGTCACAAATCTGATCCAACAACACGCTGTAGATGGCGAGTCTTTGATCTTGTCAGAGGGTAGAGGATCCTAGCAACTTAGGGCACCTTTGAAATGGAGGATTAGCAAAAGAATTTTGGAGGATTCATTTTTCTAAGGATTTTTTACCTATAGAGCCCTTTGATTCATAGGGAGAGGATAGGAAAACTTCCATATGATTGTATTCCTATGATCAATTCCATAGGAAAATAAGCAAGAGGTTAGACCTCTTGTGAAACTTTCCTTCGTTGAGTGTATACTGTGGTATAATCAAATGGCTCTTCTCTCCATTTCCTGTGTTTTCAATTCCTGTAGAATTGAAAAAACATACAACTTCAATTCCTACGTTTTTCCTATTCTTGTGTTTTTCCTATCATGCGTTTCAAAGGGGCCCCATGTACAATGGTCTTTATTAGTGGTCTATCTTTATTGTCATGCAAGCATATTTGGTGACGTGGAAGAGAGAGAAGGACAAAGAAAGATGGTTGCTACGCATGACAACGACATAGAGTCGACTCTTAGCATTATTAGGAAATTTTTTGTTGCATTGAGTCTAATAAAGAAAAGATAACTAGTAAGAAAATATTTTAGTACATTAATGGTTAGAGACCGTATTGTCTTAACTATTGTAACGTGATAGACTCTAATTAACGTAGAGACCATACTGGTTTTTGTCTTTGTACTTGCCCTTAAACTCCATAACAATATGCCAATCCAAATCATTATTTGTCATGAATAGGCTCTTTTGGACATCCAAGTCCTTACATAATAACTCCCATGGACAAGAGAAAGAAGGCATTAATAGAATGAACAGCCTAATATGTTACACTTACCGAACAACGTCTATGTTTGGTCATGTGTTCTACAAGTGATGTTGTAGTTCCCATATGGTGGAGATAATTTCGGTACTTGCTATATTTCACTCAAGAAGGTAGAAGGCAAATTGCTTTACGCGATCCACAGAGAAGTCAACTTGATTCACTTCCCCGGCCGGGGATCCTATAGATAAGAAGATTAGGAGAGTTGCCAAACTCTAACCATCATGCATGTACCACACACTTCTACTATGCCAAGGGTTGTTTGGTTCACCATCAAACTTTATCATGTCACAATTCTGGCATCCCATAGTTTGTTTTATCCATATTTATTTCATAATCACACTTATGAGTTACCGCGGTTAAGCTAATCATGCTACAAACTTGTACCCTATAATTTATTGGCGACACTTTGTAGTTTACCATAACTTGGATGCAAGCTTATACCCTACCAATTATGCCCTATGTTGGTCCTACAGACCAAAGACACACCAAGGTTCTAGACTAATAAGCCATAACACCTATTAACAAAAAAATATTTTTTGTACATAAAACTTTTTTATATGTGCTATTAGCGACTTACAAGCCAATGCTAGAAAATAAAATACAATGAAAAATAATAAAAAAATGAACTTTAAATTTAGGTTTTAAAACTCAAATTTTATTTGGGCATATAGGCTGAAGAGCAAACAATAGAGTTGCAAAATGTTTAGGATTTAAGGTTTTGTGTATTTTAGAAAAAAAAACTGATCTACTTTCATTTTATATTTCAAGAAAGCATGGGTAATAGAACATTTAAAGGGATATAACTAAAAGCAAAATATATATTATTACAATAAATACATATGTTGAGTATATATACTCCTTTATTTAAATAGACTGCAAAGGTGGTGACAGTGAGTTTGCCACCCTATCTATTCCTATATATTGTAGTTTTATGTATTACAACTTGAACTTCTTAATATGACAAGATAGCTAAATCTAAATGGATAGCTATATATAAAATTAAATTAAAGTGAGTATTCTCTAAAACAAAAGGCTGGTAACATATTTGATGAAAATTATGCCTTTTAGTTTCAGGAAATATTATGATTTTTTTCCTTTAATCATATTAAGGCATGGACATTTAGATAGTGCTACAAATAGATAAACGATAAATTACACTTACTTTGGTCTTGAACAAAATGTTTTAAACAATCATGATTTCAGTGGTTGTATTTGTATTCTACTAGTATATCCTACGACTGTAAGTGTAACAGAAGATATCGTAAAAACAACTCTTCCACAACCATCAATCTGCTAGTACAATACATTTGTCTCGGTTTAGAAATTCCCATGCTATATGTGAGATCATAGTATTGATTATACGGACTACCCACACTTATAAAAAAGAGTAAATTTCACAAAACTACAGGTGTTTTGACCAAATTATCACAAAACTACAGATTTAAGGAGTTGTATCACAAAACTACATATTTAGCACTAAATTTATCACAAAATTACAGATTTTAGATTAAGTATCATAAAATGCATATTTAATATTGAACTTATCACAAAACTACAACTTTTGGAGTTTAAATCCTAGCACCATTGTTATGGTGGAGCTATAAACATCATTACTTTGTGATTAAATTGATTATAAACCTGTAGTTTCGTGATAATTTAGTTACTAAATATGTAGTTTTGTGATACTTCATCTTAAATGTGTAGTTTTGTGATAAATTTGGTGTTAAATGTGTAGTTTTATGATACATCGAGTTAGATCTGTATTTTTGTGATAATTTAGTCATAGTATATGTAGTTTTGTGAAATTTACTCTATAAAAAAATAATGCATTCGCTCTAAAATATAGAATATTAATAATATAGTTATATGGATAAATTTTCTTTATATTTCAAAATGGAGATAGTAACGAAAGATATATACTACGTGCTCAATCCTTATTTAATCTTTTGAACCGTCCTGCTTTTTGCCGACCCTTAGTTTGTGTTTAGTTCACGTTAAAATTGAAAGTTTGGTTGAAATTGAATTGATGTGATATAAAAGTTGGAAGTTTATGTGTGTAGGAAAGATTTGATGTGATGGAAAAGTTTAAAGTTTGAAGAAAATGTTTGGAACTAAACTAGACGTGTAAAATGCCACGAAATTTGTGGGAGGACATCACAGACGCGGCAATACCGCCAATTGGCTGAGATGCACCCGATCGTTGGATGCCACGTACCCTAGTCTCTATGGCATTGTTGGCTCTGAACAAACCCAAAGCATGGCATTTTCTGGCTATTTACTCCCAGCTCCTGGGCTCAAATAATGCTCAATCAACCAGGGACGATCGGAGCTGAGGGAGCTTTACAAACAACCGGGTACGAGACGAGTCGATCAGCCGGCGATCGACGCACTCTCCAACTCTGGGGCGAAACGAGAGAAGACATGCATGCAGAAGTTCACGTTGTCAAGGAGGCGATCTCAGAGTAAGTTTAATAGTAGTATAACTCTAAATCACCTATAGATAATGTAATAGACAATTCATACAATAATTACTTACTATACTATTAATATCCGGTCCCACTATCATATACATATTACGTCTTGGAGTCCGTACTGCAGCTGGCTACAAATTTATCGCTCGCTGCTCTTCTCTCTTCTTTTATCTTTTTAAAATATATTTATAACTGGCTTATAGGCTGCTATGGTAACTGCTCTCACTTTTGCTCGGTGTTGGCTCTGGGCATCATGCATTGAATGCGCCTAGGACGACGAAGAGAACGGAGTCGGAGGGAGAGAGGCGATGCAGTTGGGGTTGGGGCCGCTGCGACGACGCATGCAGCCGCGCAGACAAGCGTAGGAGCAGCAGGGGAACAGTAGCAGGTCAGATAGCGTGTGCGGCGCGAGCGAGCGCAGCATTGATTGCTTGTGAATGTGCACTGCCTCTGGCACCCACGTCAAATTGGGGAAAAGCTAGGCCGGTCGACTTGACCGGACGATGCGCCGTACTCCAACTCTACTACTCCAGTCTTTTTTCTCGGTTGCACGAGTACTCGGTGTACCGATCGGGCGGGCCGGCACGACGCTACCTCCCCCGTACGCGAGAACGTGGTGCCTGATCGGAGGAGTACGCTACACTATGAGCGGGGAAAGAGCGCGGGAGGCAGAAGCAGAAAGAGTTAGCGTGTGCCTCAGACTTTGATTGCGGTACGGCTCCGTCTCAGGGGCGGCATTCAATGGTTGTAGGCATTTGGCGTACGTCGTGTTTTGCTCGACGTTTTGTGCGGTTATTCGTTGATGAGAAACAGCCGGGGGACGACGAGGGGTGGCACTGTACTGGTGGGCCTGGTGTCTGGAGGCCTTGGGTTCCATAAAGTTCAGTTTATCAGCCAGATTACCGCGACCAGACCAGGAGTCCATGCCGTTTATTGAGCCGTGAAGACGCCGAAGTAAACACACCCTTGGCCTACAACAAGGTCTTCGTCATCCATTGATTTGATTTGATTGCGATTTCAGAGCTCAGGCCAGATGACACGAGCATAAACATCGTGAAAATAATTTTCCAGCAAGTCAACCTGTCACGTTGAACGAAACTGCTTTTAAAATAACTGAATGAGTCAATTTGTACCGATGTACGAAGGTAAAGGAGATATTATATCCGGTTTTACGGTTAAGGAATACGATTCAATCCAAAAGGAAGAGTTGAAAGTCGAAAACAGACTTATACGAAGTGACGAGCCATCAAAGTGTGGACACCCAAGAGCCCAAAACTTTTGCAGGCTGTAGCAGCCTATCCACTGCGGATGTCAACGACCCAAATTCCCGTGCCAGCTGTTGCGGTGTTGCTCCCTTCACCTCGTGAGTCCCGTGCCCACCACCAGGCGCGCGCCCCACGTTGTTGCCCGTTGGGACCGGAGAGAGTTCACGCGGCACCTGCGCCGCTCCCGCTCCATCGCGACTTCCGCGGCCCGTCTATGCGCCGCCTCTTTTTTTTTTTCTTTCTTTCGGGGCGATTTCTTCTCTGTTAGTGCAAGATAATAATAGAGCTCACTTACTATTATTAGCCAATCTTAAAGCCAACACATATAATAAATTAGCTATAAAGTTGGCTACAATTTTCTTCTCATCTCTCTATCTCTCACTTATACATTAATTGTATTTGTCTTGGAGCTTGTGTTAAGCTAGCTCTTGTATGAGAGCCAACACCCTTAACTTTTTGTTACATCTCTCCTCCACATAAGCTTATAGTAGGATTATAGCTAACAATTATACTTGCTCTTAGAATCTTTCTCAATAAGCTGATAAGAAAAGTTCGTTTTATGAGAAAATGCATCGACGATTATCAATCTTAACGTGTTATTATTAACTGCACTCGAAATGTTTTAGACCACACAAAGAAAAAATCATGAGTCAATGACATGTAGGACCTACATAAGTCAATGACATATGGGTCAGATAGCATATCTCAAATTTTACAAAATTATAATGGCATGGTTCCAATTTTTCCAAAGAAAAAAAAGTACACACTTACAAGTTACAACCCAACACAAATAACTTTCGAAAGAGAAAGAAAAACAAGTATATGGCTCGGATCGATGTTTCTTATGCCCCAAAACACCCGATATGTTTCTTCGGTGTCACTCCGGTTGCACGGTACTTAGCTGCTATCTCCTCGGCCTTGATCACTTCTTCACCGCGCCGGGCCATCACCATTGCTCTCTTTTCTTCAGCTTCCTTATGGACGATTGCTTCCTTGTTCTTCGCCTTCTCAGCGTACTCTGCCTTCTTCCTTTCCAACTCTTCCTGTGTACTCACAGGTTAATTGTAGAACAGTGTGGGTGATACACATTTATGTTGCCAATTCTCAAACAAGCAACATGGACTACTTAAAGAACCAATCACTCATGGATTTTGAGTGTCACCAGAAAACAGAGCAAATTTCTTCCGTGTATCATTTTTCTATGTACTATATATTGCTCGTACTTCACACGCTGACAAGTTAATCAGGAATTCATTGCATTGCAATTAAACATCATATCCTTTCCCAAAATAAAACAAAATCCAACATCATCACAAACCATTTTGAAATTCTTATAGATGAGATGTGCAGAGTATTCAAATTTCAAGCACCAGAAAACATAATAAAATTATCTATCTTTTTTTATTAAAAAATTTATCTTTTTTTTCGCGAACGATTAAAAAAAATTATCTTGACAAGTGAAAAAACAATGAACTTACTTCCTTCTTTTTCAGTTGAGTTTTTATTACTGCCTTCTTTGTGTTCTCCCATGAAATAATATCCAATAACTTCTTAGAGGCCCTGACACAGAAAAGAAGTGATTCGGAAGGTTATGTGCTATGTTTCCTCAATAAACACAACATGTTGTAATGGAGCCACATATGCCCTGACAGTAAGACATGGTTTCATTTTGGTTTACACATCATGTTCGCACGGAGAGAGATTCTGGCCAATACGGGCGATTAAATTTTGATTATGTACCTGTTCTCCGCTTTTGCCTTTTCGTTCTCCTCCCATGCTTTGATCAACGATTCTCGCTTGTCTGTCTCCACCTTTGCAAGGGCAATATCTAAAAGTATTCAGGTGTTAATTTAGCTAGAGGCCCTCAATTTGCCAGTGTGTAAAGGGAAAAGGACAGCATAAGTTAATCACCTCTGTCATTTGAGGTCCTTGTTGGTGTTGCTGTTGCTGTTGCCTTCTCAGCATGAGGTTTATCAGCAACCTCTGGTATGTGAAAAATCATGATCAGATAGGTAGAAATCAGAAGAATGACTTAGGTCGACCTTTGCATGGCAAACAAGCTAAAAAGCTATAGCGTTCAAGAAATCATGCACACTAGTCTAATCTCCATTTCATATGTTGTTTGAATTGAAAAATGAAAAGATGTGAATGGCTGAGCATTCTCAAATAGTATTACTATAGGTAAAAGACTGCACGCCAAATTCGACAAAACTGAGCCAGCAAAGTACTATACTCACTCTCGACGAAGACGACGAGAGCCTTGGAGTCATCGGCCGGCGGCTCCGTGTCATCATCGGTCTTGGAGATCACCGGCGATGTCGAAGCCGCCGGGATGACGGCCTTCTCCTCCCCCGCGTTCGCTGCGGCGGGCGTCGCCCCCGCCTCCTTCAATGCCTCCCCGGCCATCTTCACCGCGCTCACGCTACGCTACTGACTCGGCGCGGCTGCTTACAATGAAACCAGGCACCGTACTGCTTTTGGTAGCTAGTATACTATACGTTTGGTCACGACGACTCACGGGCTGCTGCGTAGTGCGTACTGAATACCGACTGATACGCTGAGGCCTGAGCTGTGGGTCTCTTTATATACAGCTTCTACCCGGCCGGGCTTCTGCCTAGAAGAGCCTGGAGTGAGTGCGATCGGTCCATCATCAATACATTAGATTTTGGATTTGAATTTGACCGTAAATACGAGGGATTTGGAGTACAATCTTTCTCCATCCATCCGATCATCGTATTTATTGCTAACTGGTTGTCACATGGCTAACGTGATTTTTTCCAATCAAATAAACTTTTAGGGACAACAACGTAATTTTTACTTTTTTACATTAAACTCTGCTAGAAGCCTAGATTAACTTAGATTTATTAAGCCGAGCAGGTTATTGTCACATAGTATTATCTACTTGATTATAAAAGTAAATTAAAAATTTGAGAAATAAACTAAACAGATAGATTAAAATACGTGATCTTAACAATGCAATGGAACGAAATTTAAGTTTAGCCGTAAAAGTCATGTTGGGATAGTTCGATGAATAATCTTTTTAAGAGAGAAAACTGAAAATCCATTATAGTTATCGACGGAGAGTGTACTTATTTTAGTAAGTAGTAGTAAGCAGTAGTAAGCAGTAACGTGACTGGAGAAATATGCGGGCGCGTACGTGCGGCGCACAGGGTGCCGTCCTCTCCAGCTCGCCGCCGGATCGGTCGTGCCATCCATCCTCAACCAAGCGTACCGCGCGGGCGATGTACCGCGGCTCCGTCCGTGTATTCCTTGACTACGTGCGTTGCCTCTCAGACGTGGAAGGCAGGGGAGCCGCGAGTTTTCCGAATGAGCTATTCTGCTGCAATCCGCAAGCTAATTTACGTTGTGGCTACTTGTTTCTAGGGTGAAAATGGACTGGGACGATTGGATTATGACATTCCTATTATCCTATATTCTAACCCATATTTTTTTAAAAAAATTCGGAACCAGGTACGGATAATGCCGAATAACATATCACTCATCTCATATCCTATCCCATATTATTTCCTTCGAATCGGATTTGGGAACATGTCTCCATTTGTATCTCTAATTCATAGATATTAAATATAATAAGGTACTCCCTCCATCCCATAATATTAGACATGGTAAAAGTTACACGGTCTTTAAAATTAATCTTTAACTTATAATTTCTCATATGCTATAAGAGTTGTAGCAACAAAATCTATCTATTATATTATTAAAACAGCCTTGAAAGGAGGCACCACGTTCGCTGTGGGGGCTAGAAATTCCCACATTAATCGGAAAAAAAAAGAAGAGTGCAAATAGAAATACAATCTAAAAATAACTGAAATTCGGAATTAAAAGTAAGCAATATTGAAAGAGGAGTCCATATAAGAACCCAATACGAGATTAATCAAAATTCTAAATAAAAATGAAATAAAATCCGAAATTATCAAAAAAAAGAGAGAAGAGTTCGAGTAGGAATACAATTTTAAACGGAATTAAAAATAAGGAATATTGAAAGAAGAGTACATACATGAATCCAATACGAGATTAATTAAAATTCAGGATAAAAAATAAAAAAATAAAAATAGAAAAATGAAAATAAAAAGAAGAGTTCAAGTAAATACAATTTAAAATTAATTAAAATTAGGAATTAAATATAAGCAATATTGAAATAAGAGTAAATATAAGAACCCAATAGTAGATTAATTAAATTCGGAATAAAAAATAAAATAAAATATGAAATTAGAAAAAGAAAAGTAAAATTTCAACTAGGAATATAATTTATAACTAACTAAAATTGTTGATAAAAATAAAGACTATTAAAAAAATACCATCTAAAACACATGATGAGATTAATTAAGTAGCAGGTCTATAGAGGAGCAGAGTGGTGGCGGTTCATAGGACATCTAAAAACTATTAATAAAACGCCAAACAAAATCCTAATGATGATTAAAACGAAGGACGACGGGCAGGTCGTGAATCAATCGGTCAAGGCGGTTGGCGGGGCTTCTAGAAAGTAAAAAAATAATCCCCAATGATAATCATATTTGATTTTTAAAATCTCAATTACAATAAAAATAAAAGGCAGCTGGCGGGTCGTATATGAGTACAATGGCAGAGCCACCGATGGTTGTGGGTCTTCTATAAAGTAAAAAATGAATTCCAACGATAGTTATGTTTGAGTTTTATAATCCCAATGGCAATAAAGAGTATGTGGCGGATGGGTCGTGGAGGAGTATATTGGTAGCGCTTGATAGGATTTCTATTATGAAAAAAATGAAACCCAACAGGACAATAAACTCTAAAAACTATAAGGTCCAATTTTTAAAGGTTCAAGCTTCTAAAAATAAAAAAATAAACCCCAATAATAATCATGTTTGATTTTAAAATCTCAATGACAATAAAGAAGGGCGGCAGCGGGCGAGCCGTAGAGGAGTACAGTGACAAAGTTGCTGTAGTTTCGGCGGAACTTCTATAAAATAAAAAAATGATCCTAAACAATAATTATGATATATTTTTAAATAATAATGATAATAAAAAGAAGATGTAATGGACGGTCGTAGAGGAATATAATGGCAGCGTTTGACGGGACTTCTAGAAATTATAAAAAAGAAGTCCAACAGGACAATAAAGTCTAAAAAGTTTTTAGATCTAATTTTTAAAGGTTATAAGGAGAATGAAATAGAAACAGTGGTAGATCGAGTTATATAATAACGAATAATATGATAGAAATAAAGGGTGCTGATGTGATTTTTAAAAACTATAAAATTTGAAACACGAGGATAATAAGGTTTGGCTTTGAAACACGAGGATAATAAGGTTTGGCCTTTCAAAATCTTAAGACATCGAGATAACTATTTAATAAATTTTAAGTAAAATTATATTAAAAAATATATAATTTTATATGGGTGCTAGCCACGCAATTGCGCGGGCCACCCAGCTAGTTATAATTATATGAAAGTAAATTTAAATGTCAATCTAATGACATAATTTTTAACAAATAAAATTTATTTCATATTATATTAAATGTTGGTCAAATGTTTTAAAGGTTAAATCTTAAAATACGTGTATGCCTTATTATGGGATGGAAGGAGTAATTAAATTATTAAAAGAGATACATCAGAAAAAAAACATATAATATTACGTGTGGGCATGTAAAATAGTGATTAACCAATCTTTTATCACATTTTTAGGTGGACTTATAATAAATTTTTGTACATATTTTATAATACGGAACATACGGGTGGATACATGTCTTTCCGTATCCTAACCCGTATTTTTCCAACGAATTTGGATTCGAACTCGGTTAGTATCGGGTATTCCTTTTTTCTCCCATATTCCTCCCGCGAGTCTTGAGTTGGGTGGGCGGTCGGGAAATACCCGCCCCATTTTCACCCCTACTTGTTTCAGCCTTCTGATGATCGATCAGGCCTTTTATACGCGTCGTCCAGTGAAACTTTTATCCGTTTATGGTGAGTATTTGCGCCCTCCAAGCATCTCCACCGTTTTTTTTTAAAAAAAAAGATGCATCTCCACCCTGCGTGGCTGCCGCCCAGCTGCCACGGCGTCGAGTTTGAGGATTTGGATCAGGTGCAGTCACAATAGTGACTGCAACTTAATCAGTAGCATTAGCACCATTGGATGCGAACTGGACAGCTCAGATCGCGAACTGTAGCACTGTAGCACGGGTACTGTTCACATGGCCACTGTAGCTTTACATCTAAACCGTTGATCAGAAAAACGGATGGCTGGTGTTGTGTGCAGTGTTAACTTGCAGTTACAACTGTAACTGCACCGGATCCGAATTCCGAGTTTGAGTATAGCCAATTTAATTAGCCACACAACCAATGAGGGGCAGGGTTTTAAGTTTTAACTGAATTTTGTTTCGAATGCGAAAAATATTACACATCAATATATTATATTAGAAGGAAGAAGTTTTAAGCGAGTGATATACTTATCGATTAAGGCCATATTTGTTTCAGCTTAAGATTATTGTAATCTAGATTATTAAATCAGATTACTCTAAGCTGTATTATAATAAGCTGACATAAAATAAGCTATGAGTTGTTTGTTTCTCTGGATTATTAGAGGCATCTAAGAGTAGTGGATCTTTAGCCACTCAATAATCTGAAAAAAGCTAGCTTCTCTAGAGGAGATTATTGGATTATAGTAATCTGGCTTATATGTTATAATAATCTAGCATAATAATCTACTTGTTTGTTTCAGCTTACAGTTAATAATCCAGATTATAATAATCCTAAGCTGAATAAACAGGGGCTAAAACTAGACACTTGTTAGTTGCCGTGTTTGTTGCAGCCCATCATTTCTTTCCTATTCCTTTTCCAGCGAGGTCGTTTGCAAATATTTAGACGAAACAAATTAAATATAGTGATCCAATTGCTCAAAAACAGTGGTTGTTGATACAAATCGCGCGCTATTAGGTCTGTACTATCGTGCGTTAGTTTTTTTATATTTTTTCTGTTGTGTAGTACTGTATAGTCTGTATGGAACTAGCCCTTTATTCAGCTTCCCCTAAACTGTACTTTTTTGTTGGCAAAACTTTTTCCGTCCTTGTATTTTTTTTTCAGACTATAAATACAAACTTTTTTGAAAGAAAAACTGCAAATACAAACTATATGCACTCCCACACTTATATAACTATATAGGACTCCCTATCTCATCCTTTTCCCCTTTCACAAAGATGTATGCAATTTCGTGCTTTGACAACAATTGTGACTTGGAAGCAGTTATCTAACTAGCAGCTTTTGATTATTCTATATGCGTGTTACATTAAGCACGTTTAATTGGATCGTCACTATAATAGTATAATCAATGGAGGTTGGAGATTCTGCCAGCTAGTAGAATTTTACTCCTTTTTTTTCCAGAAAAAAAATGAATTCTGATTCTGCTGAAAAAAAAGAGGGTGTTACTCATGTCGAAACCATCTGTTGCCAAGTGGTGGTGATCCCATTCTCATCATCTACAAGAGTACGGCCCTGTTTAGGGGAGTTTTAGATTCTGAGAAGCAGCTGTTTGGTAGCCAGCTTCTGAGAATCTAGAAAAGCTCTGAAACCCAGCTTCTCCAGCTTCTGCCTTCTTAGTTCATTTTTCAGAATATGTAACTATAGATTCTCAGAAGCTGTGGACTGTTTGGGGCAGCTTCTAGCAGAAGCAGCTTTTGAGAAAAGCTGCAGCTGAGAGAAGCTCCTCCAAACAGGGCCTACAAGTCCGATGAGACATCCAAAGTCACCTCGCCATCAGCGATGCCAATGACTGTTTGGTGGCGCCACCACCTACCGATGCGAAGGATCATGAGACAAAATACGATTCAAACTACCAACAAATTTGCCCTTTTGTGTGACAGACTTAGAGAGGGTATAGGTAGGCTGAACTGCAACGATGATGTGAGCGGCTATTGGATGGTGGCACAGGAGGACATATCAAGGTGGGAAAGACAAAGCCAAAGTAAAAAAAAATCCACATGCTGGTAGCATGGGAAATATGATGTGAGCGGAACAAACGAGTATTTCCAAAATCAGGAAAAATCCTTGCCGCAGCTGCTAGACAAGATACAGAATGAAATCAAGCTATGGAAAATATGTGGAGCAACAAATATCGTGAGATTTATCGGCCTAAGATGTTTTGATTGATTAGTAGCTTTTTTCTTTTTTTTTCTCTGCCTCTTTTTCCTCTCTTTTCCTCTTTCACTGTTTGGTGATCTTGTAAATACTCCCTCTATAAAAAACGAATCTAGAACCGGATGTGACACATTCTAATAAAATGAATTTGGACAGAGATATATCCATTGTAGTACTAGGATGTGTCACATCTAGTACTAAATTGATTTTTTATAGGACGGAGGGAGTACTTTCTTCTTCCCTACTTAATATAACACCTGCTTTGCTGGCTTTAGTTTCACCAAAAAAAAAAAAGCCCAATCCACACAGCTACCACGTAGCATTTTCACCTATCCTCAAATTAAACACGTTAAAAAATAGGTTTGTCCTAACCCGATAATCCATGTCCCTCCAATCAAACGCATGCTTTCTTACTCACATTAACACAAGGATTGTTGGCCAATTTGAGGAATGCCACCCCTCACGGATTGAAACGAAAGAGAAATCAGCTCGGACGGCTAGAAATGTTCCTTTACACGAACATGGCATGGACGGTAGTGACACGTCCGACGCCTTCTATATTAATATAGATTAACCACATAACAAATACACACACAACAAATATGCATATTTCCTTTCTTTGTATGTCCAGTATGTTCTTTCTTTGTTTCAAGGGGAGTTATATGAACACCAGCCACCAGGTCTCACTGTGGCAACAACAAACTTCTTTGGTTGTGTTTGTATATGCTGTAAAGTTGTAAACTACAGATGTTCTAACTTTCAGGGATTGGAGCATACTCATGCGGTTCTTCAACGCGAGCAGGAGAAACAGCAGCAACCACGACGGAAGCACCGAATAGCACAACAATCAAAGCCGTGAAGTTCACCAAAAATGCCTCTGCGCCATATTTGTCGAGCCCTGAGCTTTGGAGGAAAGTGAGCTTCTCAAGAAATCCGAGTTCTGCGGTGGCCAGGGCTAAAATGTAGACGAAGAGCCCAAACAGTATATGCCAAGGAAGAACACCCTTCCTCACGCTTGGCGAAGCACGGGGGAAGAAGAAAGCAACAAACCCGAATATCCACTGCAATAGACAGGCGCATTTTACAAGAAGTTGTCAACAATCAAGTAAAGTTATATATAAAAAAAACTCTCACCGGGCAGATATCAACTACTACAATAAAACTTCGCAGTTCAATAAATGTGTTGTAGATCTTTCAGCTCTGAAAAGCAATCCATTTTTTCATGTCTTTCGGTGGCCAGGAAATTATTGGTACTAACAGCTACTGGTGTCTGCTAACTTATTCAGATTCATGAGTTTTTAGTTGTGAACAGCACAACAGGATACAGAGTAATCATTTAACCAAACACATTCAGAAATTGATGCAACATCATAATTGACTAAATTGTAAAAAAAAAAAAAAAAAAAAAAAACTCTTCTATGTGCATGCTTTACCAGCTATTTTACCAGTTGGTTCTGTTGTAAGTTGACGGTTTCAGACAAATCATAATAATTGGACTAAGTCAATGGCTTATATGGAATAGAATTGCTGCCATATGCAAGGGGTTACCTGAATACCATACAAACAAATTGTTCCAATCCCAAGCCAAGAATGCAGACTGTAGAGGTTGGCAATTCCACTTTCATTGTGAAATTTGAAAGCGCAGTATATCCCAACCGCACCGAATACAAGGGCAATTGCATGGAGAATTAGATGGATCAGCTTAGTTGTATCATGCTTCCAAGTAGGAAGGACCTTGTATACCATTATAGCTGCCAAAATGGAGAAGGAATATTACTAAAACTTTTCCACGAACCACAGAAATAATAATAATAACAACAAAACAACTTACCTTCACTGCCTAGGATTATATAGCCAATAAGCATAAGAACAGGGTGAACCTGCAATGTCTCAACATTAGAGATATGGGCAACCGATTTGAAACGCTAATGTACAGTAGTATCCTGAATTACTAGTAGTAAGGAATATGCAAATGATTAGAAACTGCAGAACAGAAAAGAACCGAATATACAGTTTAAATTTTAAAAGGTCCATTTGCCGTTAAGTCCAAGTTTAACGTCTTTTAAATTGGGCATGCAAAATTAGGTGGCGCGTTTACAGAAATGTGTAGCAAGTTGAAATGCAAAATACGATTGCTTTTTAACATCTTTCTGTGGACCAATTGCATTTTTAACATGACGTCATGACCCGCTTCATCTGATATGAATTCAACATCATGCAATCATTATTCAGCCCTCCATTTTCCCCATCAGATGGACAACATGCCAATGTGTTGACCAACATGGATGCATGAGCATAAGAGCATCCATAATTCAATACCCAACAAAAAACATGCCAATGTGTTGACCAACATGGATTCATGAGCATAAGAGCATCCATAATTCAATACCAAACAAAAAACCAAATAAAGAATACACCACATGGTGCCTAGTTCAATAACCTACTCCATCAAGCAATCAAACGATCCCTGATTAGATGTTCAAACTGAACGCTCAACACTTTGGCTAACTTAACACATGCAGCAAGGCCTGCAAACTTATGAAAGTCAACCCAATTCTCATTAAGTAGTCACAAATCCGAACAGGTTAGCTAAAAAATTGCTTAACTACATACGTATAGCGGGGAAAAAAAGCAATCTTAACAACAATTCATCTGTTCATTCATAACCGATAACACAACCTCGACAGGACTAAAATTTAAGCACTATCCTAATCACCATGGCAAAATTAACAGCAAAAGGTAAAGCAGATGCCATCAACATCCTGCTTTTCTTGATCAAACGCCAAACGGATACGACGGCCAAAGTATTTTTGCGCTTCCTTCCTTCCTAATAAAGCTACCTACCCCTACTGGATATGACTCCAAAATTTTCTTTTGGGAAACAAAAAAAGAAAAAACAGCGGCACCCAAAATTGTCCATCCAATCCAATATCTCGGGACGGTATCACTAGAAAGATAACTAGAGAGACGGGGGGCAGACGAGAATCAAGTACTCACGTTGAAGATGAGGTTCTTGTTTGTGGCCTCGAAGGCGAGGCCGCCGCGGAAGTGGATGCACCAGACCAGCACCATGGTGGCGGCCGCCACGGCCAGCGCGTGCGCCACGTACGTGAACGGCGCCGCCCTCACGCCGAGCCCCATCGCGCCCCGTCTCCTTCCCCTCCTCGCTTCGCCGCGGCCGCGCTGTGCCGTGCCGCTGCTACCGGCGGCGGGTCTCGGGTGAGTGGAGAAGAGAATGCCGGAGCGTAGTTGTCCCCCACCCCCAACGCCTCCTATAATTAATACTCCCTCCGGGAAAAAAAAAACAAAAAACATTTAACCGTCCGTCTTATATAAAAATTATATAAAAAAATTAAAAAGATAAATTACGTATAAAGTATTAATCATGTTTATTATCTAACAATAATAAAAATACTAATTATAAAAAATTTCATATAAGACTAAAATGAACAGTCAAACGTTGAACACGAAAATTCAGGGTTTGTCTTTTTTTAAGACGAAATGAGTACTAGTAAAGGGATATTTTGGTCTTCTTTAAAAAATCCCCGTGTTGTTTTCGTGGGTTTCCGATGAGGCCGGAAGGTGCCAATGTACACCAATCAGTTGACGCCACGGCTGTATACCTATTGATTTGTAAGATTGTTGTGTATGAAAGCATGATAATTATATTTGAAAATGGAGATTAGAGGTATGTAAAAATATCATATGCCTTCGTTAGAGTGAAAAGGCAGCGAAGGGAAACGGAAGAATCTGGTCTGATCCGTGACCTTCGTGTCTTCGGCTCCGTGGGATTTGGGAAGAAAGGAACCGGCCGCCGGCGGGGCCCGGCATGACAAGCGACGGCGCGAGAGAGGTTGGTTGGTGGGAAGTACTGGAATGTTCAGGCATAACAAGAGTTGGGATTATGCACCACGGCATTATAATGAACTGTTAAAAAAAGTTTATATACACATTTCTCAACAAAGGGCATTTGGTCTAGTGGTATGATTCTCGCTTTGGGTGCGAGAGGTCCCGAGTTCAATTCTCGGAATGCCCCCACTTTTTTTTTCAGAATACAAAATCACTTTTTTTTTCAGAATACAAAATCACTTTTTTTTTCAGAATACAAAATGTGTTTTCTTGGACATTGACAAGTTCTTTTTTTTTAGTTTATAAAATGTGTTTTCTTGGACATTGACAAGTTTTTTTTTCGGTTTACAAAATGTGTTTTCTTGGACATTGACGAGGTTTTCAAAATATACTTGTGGCTACTTATTTGTATTGTAAAATATTATGTCAAAATTTATATTTATACTTTAAAGCATCTGCAAAACCGGGCAAACATAAGATAGTACGAAAAATGTTTTTTTTCAATTCAAATGTCCACATGATACTTTCACAAGGTTACAGAATGTGTTTTCTTGGACATTGACAAGGTTTTCAAAATATATACTGACTTATATTGTAAAATATTACATCAAAATTTATATTGTATTTTTAAAGTATATGCAAAACCGGGCAACACATAACATTGTATAATCATGTGATGATTAATCTTGGTGATGAACAATTGTCAAAGGTGAGTGTTTTAAAAAAAATACAGCGAATAGTGTTTTCTGTTGGTGAACAGTGCGTTGGTACTATGTGGCCGAACTAACTAGAGGGATTCAGGCGGCCTGACTGGGTGACCCGATGGTTAGACTAGAATACTTTGGGTTGGAGTCGGTTTTAAGTTGTTTTCATGATTTTTTTAGATTGCTTCATATTTATAACTTCTAGATTGTTTCTATTAGTATGTGATACTATCGTGTGCTGATGTGAGTTAAGTTGGTGCGAATTGTACTCAAATACAATTTTTTTATTCATGTGCAGGTGTTGTTGGAGACCATAGGAGTATAGCCGGTGATGGATCGGGACTAGGCCTGGGAGAAATTAAGGTCTAGACGGCAAATGATATCACGTGGAATGCTCAGGCTAGAGAATAATGCACCTGGAGGTAAAGGTTTCTATATGATATATACGTGGTGTTGTGTATGTATGAAAAATGAGTCAAATTTGGATTGGAGTTCAAGTTTGAAAAAATTAGAGTGTGGAGTTGTATGGGAATGTTGTTTTTCAGGTTTCGTAAGCTTCCTATGTGATTAGGAGTCCTAGTTCTAGTTGGATTCGTGGCTAGGGGCAGCCACGTTGTGAGTATAAATAGATGAGGAATTGAGACCGGAAGATATCAACTTTTTTTTTTTTAAAAAAAGAAAAGTTAGGGTTTGCTTTGAGGTTTCGATTCTAGTTCGTGAGTTAAGATATGAGTGCTTTAGATGCACTTTATAAACATATATTAGTGTAATAAAGTTGATATATTTTCAAGAGTTTTGTACTTTCGTCGATACATGTTTTTTTGCATACCGACGGTTTGATCAAAGTTCATTGGGTGGTCTAATAAGCAGCATGGCAACGTCAAACCGGCATCAATCTAGCTGTGTGATTGGTGTAATTTCATTAAGTTTAACTATAACTTTTATTTCCACTAAAAGTTTAGATTTTCGGTGTTCGTACCATTCATCTCTCTAGTAGGTTTGGTTTATGTATTCGATCCTATCAAGATAGTACAGAAAATGTTTTTTTCTATACATATGTCCACATGGTTTTTGTTATGTGTACCATAGTTAATATTCCCTCCATCCTAAAATATAAGAATCTAGGACTAAATGGAACATTTCCTAGTACTACAAAACTAGATAGGCATCTTATCATCCGGTCCTAAGTTATTATATTTTAGAACGGAGGGAGTAGGATAGTAACGATGTTTAAGGTTTTAAATGGTTAACTCTAACTCCCTCCGTTTAAAAAAAAAACCCAATTCTAGATTTGAATTTGGACACACCCAGGATTGGATTTTTTTGACGGAGGAAATAAGTCCTCAGACATGTTCAAAACAACATGCTTTCGTGCTTCCGTGACCGGTATGAGTACAACAGTTATTTGCAGATAGTGGCAATGATTCCCTAATTTTCAACACCAACAATATACGTGCTTCTTAAACTGCTAAATAATATGTTTTGTTAAAAAAAATATAGAAAATTTGTTTTAAAAATTACATTAACATTTTATTCAAATTTAAAATAATTAATATTTAATTAATCGTGCGCAAATGGCTCATCTCGTTTTTTCATATTCTCAGCTGATATTACCAGCGTCTCCCCTCTCCAGCTCTCCTTAAAAGAGCCTCTGTCTCCTAAAGGCCTAACTAGAATTTGCTTGAATAATTTGCTACTGCAGCCCAGCACAAGCGACGCCATACATGCGCGACAAAAGATCCCAAGCGGGCCTGCTGTGCTGTGTACAGAAGCGGTCTATAAACCTACTGAGCCATCAGAGTTTGAATGCCCTCCCGGCTGGCCCTTCTCCGGTTGACCGTGTGCCGCGCCACCTGGATGCGCCGCCGCCGACGGCTGCCGCCCGCTACTCGGCCCCGCTGGTGCTGTCGCGTCAGACCCATCGCCGCGCACCCCCACCACCCCGCCAACATCAGCGCCAGGCGCCACTCCCTGGCCATGCCCGGGCTCCCCTGCCGTCTCCGGAGCAGCGGCGCCACTCGCGCCGGGCCGACGAGAGGGAAACCGCCCGCCGCGTCCTCGGAACGTCCCGCCGCCGCCGCCGCCGCGTACTACTGCCCGCTTCGCGATATTGCGGATCGGGCCAACCGCGGACGAGCGCGATGCCTGGAACCCATGCTGCGGGTGCGGGCCTTCGTGCCACGGGTGTCCGCGCGGCGGCGGCCACTGGCGTTGTTGGTAGCCCTGAAATGGCGCGTGCGGCGGAGGAGGCGGGTGGCGGCCCTGCAGCAGCGCGTCCGGGGGCAGCTCGCCGATGTTCACGAGGTACTCCGCGGCGAGGCGGCCGGCTCGCAGCAGCACCTCGTCCCTCTGCTGCGGCGTCATGACGACGTGCGGCGGCGCGGCCGCTGCCGGGTGGTGGTGGTTCCGTGGGGCGTTGGGTCCGGTACTCCCTCGGCGGAAGCCCGCGCCGTGGTTGTTGCTGTAGCGACCGAACGGTGCCGCGTTGTTGCCACGGGGGTTTTGGCCTCCGGGCTTCATTGCCTCGACGATGGCGACCGAGATGGGTTTACGCAGACAAGAAGAACGACAGCGCGGCACGATCGAACTCGGGAATTGATCGCGGGGCGCTGGTGATTGATAAAGGCGCTGGTGATTGATCGAGTCCGTGTTAGATACGGGGCCTCGGAGTCCATCTTAGAGAATGTATCGGACACCAATTCTGAGCCTCCCATGTATGAAATCGTTGCTAGTATATTTGAGGAATTCAAAATTGGAATAAGTTCACTTTGTGACCCTCAAAAGCGATCGAAATCTAATCTGTGACCCTAAACCACAAACCGGATATCTTGACCCCCCCCCAACTCTTAAAACCGGTGCAATTTGACTCCCTCGGCGGTTTCTCCTACGTGGCGGTTTTCACCGGGTCTCCTTTACATGTGGCGTTGACATAGCGCTTAGGTGGCATTAAAAATAAAAATATGTGTGTGAGACCCATTTGTCATTCACCAAAAATATGGGTGGGACCCACATAAATCATCCTCCCCCTCTCTCTCTTTCTCTTCCCTTCGGCGAGCCGCGAGCGTGTGACGACGGCGGCGGCGGGCAGGAGCCGGCAGCGACGGGCGAGAGCCGCCGGCGGCGGCGGCTGTGGGCCAGAGCGGCGGCGGCAGACCGAAGATGGACGGAGAGCGACAGAGGTAGGCTCGGCCCATTCCACCCCGGCGACGAGGTCCCGACGATTTCTCTTCCCATTCGGTTGGCGGTGGCGGTGGCGGCAGGCCCAGCTCCCGCCCGTCGCCGTCGATGGCCGCCGCATCTACCGCTCTCGCCGGCCCTCGGCCGCCCGCCCGCCGATGGTTGTCGTCCCGTCCCCACTGCCCGTCGATGGCCGCCGCATCTACCGCCCTCGCCGTCCCCGCCGTCGCTCCAGCTCCCGCCCGGCGCCCGACCCATGGTGCCATCGTCAGCTCCCTCCGTCATTCACGGCGCCGCCGAGAGGACAGAGCCTATCCTCACCTCCACCGGCACAGCGCCCTCACTAGGGGACAAGCTCCCTCACGGCGCCGCCGCTATTCCTGACCGCCGGCCGCCGCCGCCACTACTCACGACCACCGGACGCCGCCGCCGCTACTCCCGACCGCCGGATGCCGCCGCCGCTACTCCCGACCGCCGGACGCCGCCGCCATCCCCACTGCCACTCCGGTGGTGAAGAGAGGCGGGGGGAGAGAATGAGAGAAGGGAGAGAGGGAGGAGGAAGAAGGGGAGGAGAGAGGACGACATGTGGGCCCCACATGTCATCCTCTGTGTGAATGATAAATGAATTATTTTTTTATTTTTAATGCCACCTAAGCGCCACGTCAACGCCACGTGTAAAGGAGACCCGGTCAAAACCGCCACGTCAGCAAAATCACCCTCCAAAACCGCCGAGGGAGTCAAAGTGTACCGGTTTTAAGAGTTGGAGGGGGGGGAGGGGGGGAGTCAAGATAACCGGTTTTATGGTTTAGGGTCACGGATTAGATTTCGATCACTTTTGAGGGTCACGAAGTGAACTTATTCCTTCAAAATTTCCCCTTCTTCCATAACGACTGAAGTTCCTTACTGGGCCTCTAGCTTTTGAAGCCATTCTTTTCAAATCTCACGGTAGACAGGGAAGCCCTCTTTTTCTGGCGTAAAATGGCCTTGCCCCGTAATACAAATGATGCACCATATGTTTATTATAGGAGCTTTGCCACTGATCGGAAACGATTTGGTACATTATACTGGACCAGAGCAAATCTCTTATTATGGTTGCCTCGGATGTCCTGTAAAGAGAAGTCCACACCCGCAAAAAATCATCGACATGCGGGCTACAGCCTACAGTACATGGAATAAGTATGCACATCCGTGTAAAATATGGGTTGACATTTCACAGATAAATGGAGTGCACTGCACCCCAGAAATACCCTTTTTATCGTAAGCTTTTTCTTTGTTTGAACGAAAGGACACAAGCTATGCCTATTGCACCAAAGAGTAATAAAGAGGATAAAATAGAAGTTTACAAGCAGAAGGGAAGAAGGAAGCAACACAAAAACGAAAAACTCATGCAAACTACGCTAGAAAATATCCTCCAGGCAATGTCTTGTGACTAAAGGCACTGGTCTCGAAAAGTTAGCCTATTCAATATACCATTTAACCTATACCGCCAGTGCTTTTGAATGCATGAGCGGCTTTTAGGTGTAAATCACTTCTTTACGTAAGTTAAGAGTTTAGACATATCTTCATGGAATATCTTTACAAAATAAAACACCAGCAACTTAAATTTGAGGATACAGGGACAGGGAGCTTATCTGACCTGACATGAAAATCTACGTACTTTCCTCTCGAAATCTATTTGAGGATAGGGCACAGGGAGCTTATCTGACCTGACATGATAATCTACGTACCTTCCTCTCGGAATCTTTTCCGGAAGCCACACCCAACACCAGGGCTGTTCTGGTTTCGCCAGACCAGCTTGCTCTGTTTTTCCTTCCCATATGTAACAAATGAAAGTTTCTGCACAAAATTATTCAGGTTTTATCTTCATTGCATCTCAAACACTAGAAAATTCACAATATCAGAAAATGTTTCAGCACGTACCTGTCTTGCTCTCTTGTCAATAGGAGTCCATGTTGGATCAATGGACGGTTCTATCCTCTTTTTGTGACTTGTTGGTTGTACATTGAAATCTTTCCTTGCTCTGCGATTCTGTGCTTTAGCTCCTTCCTTGCCTTTCCCATAATGCTGAGTCCCAATTGAAGGGCTCTGGTCCCTCGAAGGAGTGTCTCTATCTCCTCGGTATCTGAAGGATTCTTTAGGTGGAGGATTTAGAATCTTTGAGTTGCTATCTCTCATTCTTGGGATCGACATACCTGGTGAATTACTACATCTAGATCTCTCCTGACGTGCTTTTCTCTTTGCACTCATTTGCCTTAGATAATCAATTTCCCAGCATGACCCCTGTGAAGTTGCATGGCTACCAAAATCTAGTTTCTGAAAAGCAAGCGAACTTGCTGGATGTTGCATAATTTCATCTCTTGGTTCATGATATCTGTTGTCCATATCATATCTGTAAGAGTCGTCTACAGTACCTCCATGTGCAAGCCCCTTCCATGTTTGTTTTGTACCTCCTGAAATGTTCCACTCACCAGGATCATCGTTGATCTCAAATGCAGTTGAAAATACTGGATTGCTATGAGTTCTGCTGCAAGATGGTCTGCTTGTGTGAAAAGTGCTTTTGCTTGGATGCGTACCACCAAATTCAGGTTGCCAGGGTAAGTCGAATGTGTCCACCATATTGCCAGTCCTTCTGTTATATGCTTGATTATTTGGTGTCAATCCATTGCTGAAATCATCATTAATGACTTGATTACCAGGTATTGCATCCACATCATGCTTCTTTTGTTGATAAGAGAATCCCTCACTTCTCATATTCAAACTTTCGTCGAATGTAAAGACATCTGGGAGCTCGGGAATTGTATTATCCATGTCAGAGAACTTCCTCAACTTAGAAGGTGAGAATACCTCAGCATGTTCTGCATAGTCACCAGGTATTTGGTTTAGAGAATCAGAAAAGAGGAGCTTATTAGTTGGTACTGCACAAGCCTGCAATGAACGCTGTTTCCTTTTCCTCGGAGACTGCAGGAATGCACTACTGATATCTGAATCGACTGAAGAGCATTCAGTCATTACAGACCTTGATTCACCTAACTCACCAAATTTGCACAAAGCATTAAATAGGGAAATGATCTTTGGAGACAAAAGATACTTTCCAACTGCTTGAATACGGCGCTCATGTGGCCAACTGAGGAACTCCACAAGGCTGCCTCCAGAAGAAAGTAACATATATGCAGACACGGGATTGATGGAAGGGAAACTTGTGAGAAATGATTCAGCCAGGCTTTCTGATTCAGGTATATCTGGAAGAGGAGCTTTATAACAGCTAGTCACATTTGTAATGCAATTGAGAATTATTTCATCTGTTGACCTGGGTGTGTGTGAGAAGAACAGCTGCAAGTTCATGTCCAAACTAGCAGCTGCAGTATACAATGAATCAGATGAGTCCATTACAGCAGAAAGGAAGTCAGCTTCTCCCTCAAAGACCTGCAAAAGTACAAGGAAACTGTTCTCTTATGATAGATCAAGAATTATCACATTCACACCAAACCAAAACAGACAGGTGCATTTGCATCAATAACATAGCAATGGCCTGTGATGCTAACTATATACGAAAAAGTAAATACTTCTAGAGGGATACAAAATTAATTACCATGATGCAGCCAGTGAAAGAGAAACTAACTGACATCAGAATGTTGGTCGCAATATTCTCTACATTTTCTTTTATACCAGATGTCTCTGCTGATGTTGTTAGTTCATTGGCCTCAAAGAGCGCAGTCTCATACCATACTAGGCAGACAGCAGCACTGAGTATCAGATCCACAGGCAGATCAATATCTCGCTCCACGACCTGCATTCCTCCTTTCTCCAGAGCTAGTATCTGCTGATAAGATGATCTTCGCGAAACAAGCATCGTCTTTCCATGATTTCCAGTATTTACAACTATCACTACATCTGGGACGGACAGTCTTCCTGGCATGATGCAGTCATTTTTCACACAGGAAGGTAAGTCAGTAGTGGACTGATTCTCTTGAGGGTCTTTCAGCACATTGGCAGATACAGAAGAAGTAGAGCTACTCTTCTCAACTGTGGGTACACATTGTGAATTGACAACAGGTTTATTACTCAGTGTTTGCTGTATATGTAGCTGTTCATCAGCAAGCACAACGTTATGTGAATCAAAAGTATTCTTCTTGTTAAGATTTTGTAATCTGTGTGGTTGATCATCTGGAAGCAGTTCTTTTGTAGCATCAGCAGCAAAATGTTTGCTCCGTTTTTCTTGAAGACCTTGCAGTTGATTTGTTGCTGGTATGAAGTTTAACGAATCAACAATACGCATTTTATTCATCCTCTCCTGCAAATCCTTCTGAAGTGTAAGCAAAACTTTATCCTGCAAATAGTGAAGCATTCTTAGGAAGTTAGGATGTTCCATGTTGATCATTTGCTACAAACACCTACTGCCCTATTACTAAGTGTAGGCCCTCAAAAACAAATATGTGGGGAAAAAACTCATTTGTATGGTTTTCCCTCTAACAAGATCATGCAGGAAACTCATGCTCAATTGAAGTACTCAACTACAATGGATAGAAGTTATGATTACAGAGCTGAGACTAAGTGTTTCATATTACAATGAGCTGTGTGTACAAGATATAAAAATTTTCATGTAGTGCCCCCCTCCCCAACACATACAAAGGCTGGCTTAATAATAAACAACATGATTGGCATATGACAACAGAATAAATGGCAGCATGGAGTGAGTGATAATCACCAATGTAGATTTCAAATCCTGGTCTTTATGGTTGTCCTCGACTAGAGCAGCTGGAAAGTCCTTGCCATCAACTTTGACATAGAGGAAATGCAGAGGTGGCAAACCATCTAATTTAGGAGCGAGAGATAACAAGGTAGATGATTTATTCGGGCCTCCATATTCCAGTATGATGCCAAACTTGTCAAAAGGGAATGAAGCTGGAATGTTCCTTCAAAATGATGACAAGAATGGATATGGCATAATATTTAATATCAGACAAGCAAAAACTAAACTGTGCATAGAAACAATTTTTTTGACAAAAAGAGCCAATGAACTTCTGGTACATTTAAGTTATTGTAAAAAAGACCCCAAAAATATGTCTAAACTCTAACCACAGTTGATCAACAATATGAACAACCAGTGCAAGATGACTCAGTGGCTCACAAGGCAATTGATCCTTCTTAAAGGGCAAGCTACTTCTAAAAACATGATCGTCTTGTAATATGTCCATGACTCCATGCACTAAGAAATGAAAGTTGTGGCAAACATGGAGGGACTGTTAATGTAACACATTCATTTAGCTCACCAGAATGAATTCAATAAATCCTGCACTAATTCTTGTACAGTAGAAAAAGGTACAGCAAATAACTAGCTAACCCCCAAGAACCAGCCTATCTGCTTGTTGAAGTTGATTTGTAATAAGAAAATGAAAAGCAAGGAATTGGAAAGAAAATTGGCTTGGTTTATTTATCAAATGGACTTACTTGTTATCTAGCAGAATGCAATCTGATTTCAGTAATTCTTCCAGCACCCAAGCTGTAGAGTTTGTCTTGTTCACCAGATCCACAAAAGTTGTTGCAGGGTTTTGTCCAAACTCAACAAATGTCATCCTCATGGATGCTAGCTTTTGACCCAGTGGCAGCCAGAAAGCTCTATCAGCAACTATAAGGATCTTTTGGTCGATTTGTTTATTAGATCTCAGGATAGTCTCAATGCATGACAATGACGGATGAGATTCAAACAGTTGCCTCTCAGATTTCCTCTGTGCTTCAGAAATGGACCATAGAATATGTTTTAACCTCTCAGGAGTGTTTTCCAAGCTTCTAGTCAGGTTGCTAATGTACAAATGGGCCGCATGCAGACCAAAGAAACATAAGTAATATGCAACCTGCTTTAATGCATACAGTACAATGAGTTCCATCTTATCTTTGTGTTCGCAGTGATTGTACGAGCCTTCTGAACCTTCTCCCGTTATCAGTTCAAGAAGTTTCTGCTTTGAGATTCCTAAACCTTGCTCATCTGAGAAAGAATGCCTCCAATATGTGCTTTCTTGCAGAGCAGATGTATAGCTTGCATGGATTTGTTCTATAAGGCCTTGAATAAGATTTGAGGGGCTGACAGGATGAATTTCTATGAGTTTGTCAACCTTAGCCCTGGTTGAAAGAGATAATGCTTGCTCTTCTGAATGCGGGACATCTAAAGTAGAAGTATTCTCATTATTGGTTCCACTCTTAGTGGCACTTCTGACGTTTAAGTAAAAATTTAGGTCACCAGAATGTGATATTAACTCAGGGAAGGAAGATGACTTTTCTGGACTCGGTCTTTTCATGGAACTATGGTTTCTAGTACCACCTTCTTGTTCGCATTTTTGAGTTGCTTCCAATTTTTGTGGATCATGAGACAGTGGGGCAGGAACATAAATATCGCTATGTTTATCCTCATCTTGAAGCTTTGGACTTCTCTGAAAATCCTCCAGAAAATCGCTAACAAATACTGATGTACTCTGACAACTCCTTTGCAGCTCAGAACTTAAATGGCAAGTTTTTGCCTCCTCAACCATGCTTGCATAAGAACAACAAATCTCCCGGTTGCATGGTCCTTCCAGTAAGAGATGCCAATCCAAATAAATTCCATCAGATGCTGATAGAGGGTGTGGTTTTAGGGAGCATAGTATTTCTTGAATGGGAGGGACCCTAGACCTAACTGCTATATCATCATTTAAAATAGGTGTAGGCAATGACCTAAATGTATCATCAACCAGTGCTAACTCGCAGCTAACCATTGATTCATACAAACGTCTTGCTGGATCAAAATCATCTTTGAATATTTCATCAGATATATTCATCTTATTTGTCTCTGACTGAACAAGCATTTTGAATACATTATCTGAAGGAAAATCAATGATCTGTACCTCCTCTAAAAGAATGGAGCAAGGCAAGTCTGAACAGGTGCCATCAGGCTTGAGAGGGTAGAGTGCTGAATTTTTCTCAAGCAGAATATTGCCATTGATCCTCACAACATCCATTTCTACTGCAGCTTTGATTTCTGCTGGTTTATCTACTTGAATGTCATGGCATGGTGCATCTTCACAAACAAAGGTCAGCATGTCCATGTCAGTTGATCTCAAGAACTCGGTTGATTTAAACACTGAATGCTGAATCTGTGCTTCATCCAAGTGTCTAACAACATTATCAAAAACACCGTATCTGTCAGTCTCAGTCAGACAATCGTCGAGCTCCCAAGAATTCCTACTTACTTCCAATCGAGGTATTACTGCACCATGATCTAGTGCTGCAATCTCCAAGCAGCAGTCTTCTCTCAGAGAAGAATGGCCATTGCCATCATTGTCTTTTACAGGGACCTTTTCTACTTGATACACTGACTCTGGAAGATCAGATTGATATCTTATTTTTATGTCGGTCTCAATATCAATGAAATCCTGTGAGAAACAGAGACGAGAACGTGAGCATGATGTATCAAAGAATATGTTTGAGTTAATAAAACACAAGGGAATCAAATCAACATGTTCACCAGCAGGCATAAGCAACTTCAACTGATTTATGTTTTTGCAACTTTGATGGTATGATAGTGATAGTTACATAATACAGAAATATGACAGGGAGGATACAAATATTACTAGTGAATCCACAATTAACACAAAAGGTAGGAGATAACCGCTTATCATGTTATTGTGTAGAAGTATATATTTTGGGTGATGCGCGCATTACAATCGAAATACAACATGGTATAAGAACGGAAGTATCATAACCATTTAACTCTAAGTACAACATGTTCATATGTCTCCCATAGCTGAACTGCAGCTCCATGCGCATTATTGATCTTTTGGGAGTATAGAGGAGCGAATTATTTGATATTGTGATGAGATGATGTAGTTACCAAATGGATTTTCATATCTGGAACACGAAGCAACAACGTGACACCACCACCAGACTCCTCTTCACCAAAGGATGCAATGTCTTCTTGCAAAGCCTTAGACACCAGAACAATCGAGTTTGAATTTGAAAAGGAAACAACATAATAATATCAACCAATATCACTGAAACGCTGCTCACCATTAGGAGATCCACCTCTACAACCTCAAATCTAAGCTCCTTCAATTGTTCCCACCTCTAGCACCACATAATGCATAAATCGAACATCAATTCCCTAAGAACAGTCAAAGCATGTACAAGGCTAGCAAACTAACTACTATGTCACCTTCATAACTGAGGAGATCTCCAGACCGTCTGATCTAGAGCCCTCCCCCTTTTCATCCTTCTCGCGGTTGATCACGCCATACCCCTATAGAAAAACAAAAAAGTGTTCGCAAATGCTCCATAGGAAATTCAGCCTACAGAATCCAAACATAAAAACTTCACTTGCCTTAGGGATTCTGAATGCACCAAACTCCCATGAGCTGAAATCCTCGCCGTATCCGCCTCTGTCGTACAGGAAGTCGTCCAATACCTGCGTGAAGCAGAATCTAGCAGATGAGCTGTTGCAACTCACAGATGCCACACGATTTTCTCACATAGAAATATCAATCAACCAAAAACAGCACAGAGCAAGCAACAGCAACCCCGAGCCACCCCCAACCAAGCCCCGCACGACTCGAGAACGCGAAACCCGAATTCGCAGGTGGCTCGCTCACCTCGTCGGCCGCGGGCACAGTCGGCACAGGCAGGGCCTGCGGGATAACCGCGGCGAGGAAATCGGAGAGCGCGGAGGCGATGGGGAGAGGGCCGAGACCATCGTCGGCGACCGTGGCGGCTGGGAGTTCGTCGGCGGAGGTGAACGGGAGGAAGTGGGGATCGGGAGGAAGGGCGGGGACGGGGAGAGAGGGGAAGCTGAAGAACTCTAGGGCTAGCGCTTTGCCGGCGGCGGAGGAGGAGGACGGCGCGAAGTAGTCGGTGGCGAGGAAGCGGGTCCTCATGGCGAATGGCGCGGCGGAGAACGAAGCGAGGGGAGCAGGAGGTTGAAGACGAATTTTTTGGTTTTCAAAATGTTTTGATACGCCAACTTTTGATCTTGGCTTGCGGAATGCGGAGTTGCGGTGGGTTTCCGCTGCATTGCCTTGTGTGTTCTACTAAAAAAAAATGTGTGCTCTTAATTAGCCGTTTCTAAAGTGTAGGAATCCGTTTCAGAAACTGGGCCTAGGATTAATGGGCCGGGGTGGTGGTGCCATTATGGTCGACGTGAACACTCGTGTTTCGTCCGGGAAAAAGTCCACTGTGACTTCCTCAAAATATATATAGCTCCAATCTAATTTATATTCTTAAACCGCAATACCGGATATCTTGATTCTCTCAATTATTAAAACCATTATAATTTGAATATCTCAATGGTTTTGGAGGATGGTTTTACTGATTTGGCACTTTGACTTGGTATAACCTGTTAAATCATCTTGTGAGACCCTCCTGTTAATGACCCTTTTTATTTCTTGTTTTCCTTCCCTTTCACCTCTCACCTGTTAGGAGGGCAGGCAGCGATGCCCTCCTCCCTCCCCCACCCAACCCTAGACATGTCAGTGGCCAAAACCGGCAAGTCCTCGTTGCGGTGGTCGAGGGGGATTGAAGGGTTGAAGTGAGGAGGGAAAGGGACGGAAGACAACAAAAAAAAAGTTACATAGGATGACTCAATAGTTTGGACCAAGTCAAAAACGCCAAGTCAGCGAAACCGTCCTCTAAAACCGTTAAGGGAGTCAAATTACACAGTTTTAGTAGTTGAGATAGTCAAGATATCCGATATTGCGGTACATGGATATGAATTAGATTGAAGCTATATTTGAGGCCATCAAAGTGGACTTGTTCCTCGTCCCGAAAGCGAGTCGTGAGCGTGATCGCCAACACGGCCCATTTCAAGGCGACGTGGTGCGGCTCTTCAACATTTGGGATGGCGTCTTCGACCATCTCCACAGCACAATGGTAGTACTACCTCTTCTGTTCCAAAATATAACAACATATCTTTATCAAAATATAATAAATTTTAAGTGAACACATGACACTAGGATGTGTCTCATTCGTTAAAGGGCTGCTATATTTTAAAATGGATGTAGTAGCTCATAATTTGATCTGTGCATTCTTTTTTTTTGTACAAATACAAATTTTGATTTGATTTGTTCATTCATCTTGTTAGTATTAATTTGGTTTGATCATGGACACCAAGTCATCAAAGCCTCTGTTTAGCAATGGCCGGGCCGCCGGGGCTCACGTGCTCGTTGGATCGATCCGAAGATTCCTCGTCAAAATTTACAATACTACTACTACTCCGTGTCAGAGTCAAAAGACTCAAAACGCCTCCTCGTATCGTGGATTCGTGGTACAGGGGCTCCCCTTCCTCTCAGTGCGCCCGCGGCCTCCGGGTGGCCTCCAGAATCCATATCAGGTGCGTCTCCCACTCGCAGCTCCAACAAACTCCCCGCATGTCGAGCATTTCCCTCTCCATCGATCCAGTATCCCCAGTTCCCAACTACTAGTTTCTTTCAGTTGCAGCGCGCGATCTCGTCACTCTGGTGACCATCTGACAAGTTCTCGGCACGTCGCGGCCGGGTGGATTTCGCATGCGCGCCTGACGAATTCTTCTCGTGAAGCAGGGCATCGATCGCCGGGGGCGATCAGATCACCCGGTGAGGTCGAGCTCCGATCGCTCGAGTGGCGTTGCCGGCCAGCCTGGAGTCGCCGGTGAACGGCGGCAGCAGAGAACCTTCAGCGTAAAAAGGTTTGTCCTTCTCGTACAACCCGCTCGATTCTTCGTGTTCGGTTCCAGCGTCGTCGGATGGGTTAAACCACACTGAAAACTCCTGTGCCGTTGAAGGGGACACAGGACTTAAATCCAGTACGGTTATCAGCATGCCCACGTCCACGTAGTGACGTGAAACAAAAACCAACACAAACTCGTTCGCACACGTGGACGCGCCCTCCTGAGCGATCGGCGCGAGCGTTTTTAACGCTCTCCAGCGATCGACTGCCGTGCAGCACTCCCTCCCGCATCCAGTGCTGTGCTCACCGTGTTGTTTCGTCTCAGGAGCAGAAGGCCAATTCAACCAGCCAACCAGAGGCTGATCTCGCCGAGGAAGCGGCGGCGAACAACGCTCGGACCGCGTCAACGATCGAGAAGGCAGAGGAGGGGGAGGGAGGTGCGGGCGGGCGGCGGGTGGGAGGGGCGGCGATGGCTTCGGCAGCCGCCGTCTTCCCGGACGGCCGGCGGTGGTGCAAGGGCGGGAGCTCGTCGTCGTCGCCGGTGACCACCGCCATCTTCCTCTTCTTCTTCGTCGTCGTGGTTGGCGTCCTCGTGTCCGCCCGTTGGATCACCACCACCGTGAGTTCGGAGTTTTCTTTGTTTTTTCTTCGTTTTCGAAATTTCAGTCGAGCATTCATGGCGATGGCGATTCATCAATGTTTATCTGACACTAGTTATTTTATTGGCATGAGCGCAGAGTCATCTGTCGATCACCAATCTGGATGAGTGGCGCACAAAGACGGTAGGTAAGCTCCATCCTTTTGTTCGATCGAAAATTGTGAAACTTAGGTAGTGTTTGGTTGCAAGGATGGGATGGGATGGGATGGGACGAACCCACTTTTAGGGGTGTTTGGTTTAGGGGTGGGTGGGATGGGTTGGTCCCTGGAGAGGAATATTCCTCTCAGATCCGGGACCAACCGATCCGCCAAAAACTGGCGGACAAACTCGTCCCACCTGGGACGAGCGACGGCGTCACCGCGCCATCCACCACCTTCGCGAGCTCCGTCGGGCGCCCACGAGCGTCGCCGCCTCGTCCACACCCGCCGCCACCTCCGCACGTCCTTCTCCGCCGCCGCCGCCTCCTTGAGCGCCGCCGCCTCTGCCTCGTCCGCGACCGCCGCCGCCTCCATGAGCGCCGCCGCTTGCCCGCGACCACCACCTCCGCGCGTCCACGAGCGCCGCCTCGCCTCCACGGCCGCCGCCGCCACCTCCACGAGTGCCGCCGCTCATCCGCGACCGCCACCTCCGCTAGCACCGCCGCCGCTCCACTCAGATCCAGCCGCCGCCTCGCCTCCGCGCCCGGCGCCTCCTCCGCTTCGTCCATGACTGCCGCCACCTCCACGAGCACCGTGACCGCCATCTCCACAAACTCCGCCACCTCTGCCTCGTCTACGACCGCCGCCGCCACCTTCGCAAGCGCCGCCGCCGGTCCTCTCAGATCCGGGCGCCGCCGAGTGCCTCCGCCCCTAGACGGCACTAACGGTGAGTACAAATCCGTCCATCCCATCCCACCTCAATCCCTTCTACCAAACAAAAAACTATAACCATCCCATACCATAAACCAAACAGACAACTGGAACCATCCCATCCCACAAAACTAGGATAGGTCTGACCCATCCCACTTCGTCCCCAAACCAAACACTACCTTAGCGAATTCTACTCCTTACCATTTTACTCTTTCCTAGAGTGACAAATCAGGGTGCATTTTTATCATGTTTGCAAACCAGAAATTCTTCCTACAATGAAATATCTGCGGTTGCATAAACAGATTTACAGGATTGATCCATTCTGCATGTCTTTTTACAAGAGAGTAAAATTTTTCAGCATTTTTTCATGTCTTTAGATGTCAGCATTTTTTAGTAGTATATAGTACAACATAACATGATTTACCATACAATCAAACAATAACTGCATTGTTCTCTTTTTATTTTCCTCAACAAACTTCTAACAATATGAACTTCTCTAGATATATGTTTGCAATCTTTAGACTTATATACAAATATGGCCTAAAAGTAACTGATTGTAGCTTATTTGAAGTAATAAAGGCCAGAATGAATTCCGTTACCTAGAAGGAGAGTAAATTTTGCAAAACTATAAAAACTTTCGATGAAACTATATTACAAAACTATTAAATTCCAGCAGCGGCCTAACAAAACAATAATGCACCAAATTATTAGGATACTACATATGTAAATTACGATATCACAAAACTATATATTTCCGCGTAAATTCACCATAAAACTTCAAATTCGGAGGTTATAGATCTCTTGCGTTATTGCCAATTGGATTTCAAAATTTATGATTTTGCGATACTATGATTTATAAAGTTGTAGTGTAGTTTTTATTACTGCTCCCTCGGTTTCAGATTATAAGATGTTTTGACTTTAGTTAAAGTCAAACTGCTTCAAATTTAACTAAATTTATAGATAAATATAGTAATATTTATATTACCAAATTAGTTTTATTAAATCAATAATTAAATATATTTTTATAATAAATTTATCTTTGGTAAAAAAATATTACTATTTTATTCTAAAAACTTGGTCAAACTTGAAGTAGTTTGACTTTGACCAAACTCAAAAACATCTTATAACCTGAAAAAAAAAAGAGGGAGTAGTTAATTTGATGCTATATAGGCATGTAATTTTACAATATCATACCTTAAATATGTACATACTTAAGTTTTGTGATAATAATTTTATTATTAGGAAACACTACTGGAGTAATTTCTGAAATTTACTCTGTTTGCGATTATTTGCAATTTTATTATCTCAACTCATATTCTTCCTTCCCCTGCAGGCAATCCTGACCTCCACGCAGGCCACATCCATCCCGGGCACCCCCACCGCGCCGCCGCCGCCGCGCCGGGCCTACTCCATCTCCTGCTCGTCGCCGCCTCTCCGCCGCGACCCCGCCGTCCCGAAGAACATCTCCCAGACGCTCTACCTCGCGCTATCCTCCCGCCCAGCCTGCGCCCGCGTCCCCGAGCCCCAGCCACTCCCCCCTACCACCACCAACTCCTCCTGCCCGGCCTACTTCCGCTTCATCCACGAGGACCTCCACCCATGGCGAGCCGCGGGCGGGATCACCCGCAGGATGCTCGAGCGCGCCAGGGACACGGCCAACTTCCGCCTCGTCGTGCTCCGGGGCCGCGCCTACGTCGAGCGCATCGCGCCGGCCTTCCAGACCCGCGACCTCTTCACCATCTGGGGCATCCTCCAGCTGCTCCGCCGGTACCCCGGCCGCGTCCCCGACCTCGACCTCATGTTCGACTGCGTCGACTGGCCCGTCGTCCAAGCCGATCGGTACCAGGGGGAGAACGCCACCGCCATGCCGCCGCTCTTC